AGATATGATGACCTCATAGTAAGAGAAAAACAGATTTAGGAATTCTATGAAATTACTGTTGATGGCCCACTGGCTAACACATATACGGTATACTGGTATTATGTTAGATGGTATATTGTAATTGCCAATAGATGTCTCTGGCAACATTAACTGGATGAATGTAATGAAGCAAAGAATGAAGGTAACATAAAAACTGAAGATGATAAAAAGCCAGCAAGTGAACACACACTTCAGTTTCCCCAGGGTCATTAAGGCAAGTGATAAAGGACAAAAAATTCCACCATCCACCACCCTTTCCATGTTGTCTCTAAAGAGTTCAATCTAAATCAAAAATAATATTTGATATAACCTAAGCCAATCAGAATACTAGTATATGGATATGAAAAATGAAGTGGGGGGGGGGTGAGTGAACCCCCTGCAGAAATTCTTTCAAATCATGCAGTTTTCAACATTCTGAGCACTTTACTGTCCAAGTGATATTGGACCAAAGTTGTCAAATGTGAAACCCCCTTTGGCAAAAGCTGGCAACTTGCCTGACTTGGTATTGATAATTTCCTATGAAGGAAGGATGATTGATCTGAGTAAATGCATTTCACAAATGTACCAAAACACTGCTAACAAGTTATTTGCGTAAAAATGGAATAGTGCGACCCATAAAGAGGGAAGGATAGATATTAACTGATACAAGTTGAATGAAGGACCCACGGTCCTGTGCTCACACAGTTTGGAACCTTCAGAGGAATGTATATCCTGACTTTCAAACAAAAATATTGATTTGGATTTGTAGTCTCGAACTTTGAGAAACTTAGATAGCACAGTTGTGTGACCTAGTTTGATGACCTTTGACCTTGAAAATTTTACTTAGTCAGAGCTCAGTAAAGTCTTTTGTGATTAAGCTGACCAAAATTTACATCCAAAAATCAATTTGAAAAATCAACTTTTTGACCTTTCGATGGTCACTGAAGGTCAACTAAAGGTCAAATCCTAAAACTAATGTCAGATTTGAACTCCTGGCAACTTGTAGATGATTTTCAAAAAAAATTTGGTCAAATTGAAGCAAGTTGAAAAATAACTTATTTTTACTGTTTTTTGACGTCAAATATCTCAAAAACGGTAAAAATTTGTCGCTGACATATATTGAGCAATATGTAGGGAATGCTTTAATCTAGTAATGATGTAATTCATTGCAAGAAATGATCAAGTATAAGGCAAACTTTGAGAAACTTGTCAATCACAAAACAAAAGACTTTTTGACGTCAAAATCCGCAATTTCTCGGAAACCGGGCAAACTTGGGAAATGGCGATGATAGGTCAAATAGGCATTATGGATATGCATAAAATGAATGTGGCTATGACTCAATCCGAATAGCAGTTTTAATTTGTGCGGCCAATGTTGACGGACGGACGGATCAATGGACGGACCAACGGACGGATGCCTGGTCAATCCAATAGGCTCAATGTGAGCCAAAAAAATTAACATGGACAGATAAGAATTTTATTGAGACAAGTCTTATGAAATATATTTTAGATTCATGCATGAAGTGTTTAAAAGCAAAAGGTAAGATGAAAAATGGCAGAACTCTTCAAAGGAACAAGGGAGAGTCGACCCAGCCAAAATTCAACTGAGACAAGTTTGAAATCATGGTGACAAAAGTCAAGATTTCTTTTCTTGGCCTAATAGGTTTATTTCTCATGGGAATTATAGGGAAATGAATTTACTTTATTTTAATTATCACCTACACCATGTGATGACGTTAATGATTTGATTTCCCTGGACCTCCTGCCTTCTATTACATTTGATTCAGACAATATCACATCTATGACCTTAAAGAAACAGAATGTGAAACAAGGCATTAACATGACAAAATGTCACCACCTAAAACAATTTGGTCAATTTAAAGCAAGTTGGAAAATACCTTTTGACCTTAAGAAGGTTTGATTTGAACTTCTTAAAACATGTAGATGATTTTAAAAAAAAATTCGTCAATTTGAAGCAAGTTGAAAAAATACCTCTTTGACTTTTTTTGACATTGAGAAGGTCATTGAAGGTCAAATGTCAAATGTAAAGTCAGATTTGAACTTCTGAGAACATGTAAATGATTTTGAAAAAAAAATTAAGTAAATTTGGAGCAAGTTGAAAAAAGACCTTTTTGACCTTGAAAAGGTCATTGAAGGTCAAATGTCAAATGTAAAGTCAGATTTGAACTTCTGAGAACATGTAGATGATTTTGAAAAAAAAAATTAAGTAAATTTGAAGCAAGTTGAAAAAATACCTTTTTGACCTTGAAAAGGTCATTGAAGGTCAAATGTCAAATCTAAAGTCAGATTTGAACTTCTGAGAACATGTAGATGATTTTGAAAAAAAATTACTCAATTTGAAGCAAGTTGAAAAAAGACCTTTTTGACCTTGAGAAGGTCGTTGAAGGTCAAAGGTCAAATCTAAAGTCAGATTTGAACTTCTGAGAACTTGTAAACGTCAAATTTGAACTTCTGAAAAGATGTAGACGATTTTGAAAAAAAAAGTTGGTCAATTTGAAGCAAGTTGAAAACAGACCTTTTTGACGTTTTTTGACCTTGAGAAGGTCATTGAAGGTCAAATGTCAAATCTAAAGTCAGATTTGAATTTCTGAGAACATGTAGATGATTTTGAAAAAAAAAATTAGTCAATTTGAAGCAAGTTGAAAAAAGACCTTTTTGACATTTTTTGACCTTGAGAAGGACATTGAAGGTCAAATGTCAAATCTAAAGTCAAATCTAAAGTCATATTTGAATTTCTGAGAACATGTAGATGATTTTGAAAAAAAAATTTAGTCAATTTGAAGCAAGATGAAAAAAGACCTTTTTGACCTTTTTTGACATTGAGAAGGTCATTGAAGGTCAAATGTCAAATCTTAAGTCAAATCTAAAGTCAGATTTGAATTTCTGAGAACACGTTGATGATTTTGAAAAAAATTAGTCAATGTGAAGCAAGTTGAAAAAAGACCTTTTTGACCTTGAGAAGGTCATTGAAGGTCAAATGTCAAATCTAAAGTCATATTTGAATTTCTGAGAACATGTAGATGATTTTGAAAAAAAAAATTAGTCAATTTGAAGCAAGTTGAAAACAGACCTTTTTGACCTTTTTTGACCTTGAGAAGGTCATTGAAGGTCAAATGTCAAATCTAAAGTCAGATTTGAATTTCTGAGAACATGTAGATGATTTTGAAAAAAAAATTTAGTCAATTTGAAGCAAGTTGAAAAAAGACCTTTTTGACCTTTTTTGACTTTGAGAAGGTAGGTCATTGAAGGTCAAATGTCAAATCTTAAGTCAAATCTAAAGTCAGATTTGAATTTCTGAGAACACATAGATGATTTTGAAAAAAAAATTTAGTCAATTTGAAGCAAGTTGAAAACAGACCTTTTTGACCTTTTTTGACCTTGAGAAGGTCATTGAAGGTCAAATGTGAAATCTAAAGTCAGATTTGAAGGTCAAATGTCAAATCTAAAGTCAAATCTAAAGTCAGATTTGAATTTCTGAGAACATGTAGATGATTTTGAAAAAAAAATTAGTCAATGTGAAGCAAGTTGAAAAAAGACCTTTTTGACCTTGAGAAGGTCATTGAAGGTCAAATGTCAAATCTAAAGTCAGATTTGAACTTCTGAGAACATGTAGATGATTTAGAAAAAAATTGAAGTCAGTCTAAACAGTAATTGTTAAGTTATAGGAAGTTGTAAGAAATTGTTACAGACGCCGGACGCCAACCACCAACCGCCGGACGCCGGACGCCAACCACCAACCGCCGTCGCAAAAAATGGAGACCATAACAATATGTCACCACTTTTGGTGGTGACATAATTAATGTTAGCTATTCGGAGATAAGAAAAATGTCATGATTTGAAGCAAGCAGTGGCCAAAAAGAGTGCGACAAGAAAAGTTGATGACGGTAATTGCAAAATTTTAAAAATAACATGAACCAACTTACTAGACTTTGATAAAGGTCAAGAGTGATTAACACAAAAAAATGAATTCAATGTCAAACCCCCAATTACCATCTACAAAGGATTCAGTCGAGTGGAACTTTGAAATTGCTGATGAAGGTTTACCACCAAAATGTTGTCTTAAAACATGACTTCGTAACTGTAGAATAATGTTAAACAACTAGAGATGCAAGAACTTCAGGACAGATTTAAAGATTCAATTATGTTACCACCACTTAGACTAGAAATGAGAAGTGCAAGTTAACCAGGAAATGACTGGTTAGTTCAAAATTACATCAATTTGAATTTACATTGGATTCATTTCTGGTACAAACTTGCATTGCTCAGGCATACACAAGGCAAATGTCTGTTCAGCAAATGTCTGTTTGCTTTAGAATAAACTATAATATGATGAAAATGAATAATCTTGTGACACTAATTCAGTCCGGGATGGCACAATGCTTAACAGACTATTGACATGTCCAGGCCTCATTTTAAAAACTAACATGTACAACATGCTAACAAAAATTACTCACGCGGACTTGAGCCCAATTGAACTCAAGCCCACACCCCCATATGGATATCGTCCATCAATAGTCTCTCATGTCATAGTCCACTGTGATGTCATAGATGCACTGAATTTGCTGCTCCATCTTTATCTGCTTCTTTATTGTTCTATTATTTCACCTACCTCTTTATTTTGATTAGACAGACATAAAATCTCAAATGGATCTTGGTATATTCTCTTATTTCAAAAATGAGGTTGAGGGAGGCCAAAAACAGAATACCAAAACTATCACCATTAAGAAACTTTATGGTTGTCTGCTTAATTGTGAACAAGTGTTTCTAAGGAGATGTAATCTCCACTTTTCAAAATCAAATCGACAGAAAGACTTGTTGATTTACCATAGGAAATCCACAACTTGAAATTCTTCTGTTGTATGGTCTTCTAGTATCTGGTTCGCAAAACAGAATTCATAACTTCAATACACATTCATGAAGAATCGCAAATTGTGGCAATAAAAATGTTAAACTGAGGATGTACTGGAGAATCTTTTTATATACATATTTCATAAATTCCAGTTGCACCTTAGTTTGCCAAAATCAGAACAATATTTAGTGTACTCCTTTTCTGTTAAATTCTGAACCACTATTTAGATGTTATTTATTCATTATTCAAATGTTAAAGTGTGTTGACTTTATGTTGTTGCATTTATGATGCGACTCAGAGTTGTGCTTGTATCTCCATTTGTTTGCTCTCTTTCATATAGACTCGCAATCTTTCTGCCAGCATTTTATTTTCATCATTATGAAAGTACAGTAATATATAATACACGGTATTCATTGTATTGACTCGTATTTTTGCTCCAGATTTGATTCTGATATTTTAATTTCTATATCGATGTATCATCAATGAATTTAATATTATATCACCATGGTCACCAAGGGACAATAATATTCTACATGCACCGTAACAGTCCTTGTATCCTCTGCACTGAAGCTGAAAGAAATCTCTAACTACTTTTTTAAGAGCACACTAAATAAAGCGAGTTTCAGCAATTTGTTTCTTATTAACTGATCCAGTTCATGGATTGAATAACTGGAAATTCAAATATTTTCAATTTTGTCAAATTACAAGTTTAATACAATAGTAAATAAAAAAATCCATTTTCAACATTTTCTTCTTGGTGTATTGCTGAAACTCATAAATTGTAATTCCAAACAAATCGTATCTACCAGAAAAAATGAGCAGCCAAGTTATTACAAAATTAAATAATTTATTTTTATAAAAACTTGTGTAAAACAATACTCTATGGTATCGAAGAATAACATGAAAAATATAATCTGTATACGAGGGATGTTGAACATATTGCGTAACTATGGCATACAATCACCCTGAGTTTAACAACCCTGCTTATTTGACACTCATTTGCACCATTTGATCCCATTTACAAATATGGGTGATCTCTTTAATATCATTTATATCCATTTTTAAAGATTTCTTGAACAAGATGCAGTAACTGCAAGATGAATCGATAAAAATAATTTCTTTTTAAAGGATCTTTCAAAAAATCTTTTAGATGGATTAAAATTGTTTTTCTATTTTCTCATGGATCAGTTTTTGGTATTGTTCCAGGACCTAATATATTCAATATAACCCATGCACTTATTTCATACATTTTCTCAAGAATTTTTCTGTGAAACAGTGTAGACTAATTGTTCATTGTCAAAAAACACAAGAACAGAAATTTTAAATGTGTGCCTTGTCATTCATTCGGAAAATGTATGAAAGTAATTTTGGACACTTTAATCACAAGTTTATGATATTGAGCAATATGATAACATTGTTTACAGAACAGTTCGTAGAAAAGTTTCAGATCATAAAAATTACAAATGTACAAGACATTCCAAATGGCAAAAAATCATATAGCAAAAATAGCTGTGGCTGAATATAAAGTAACGAAAATTTGCGGGAACACAGAATCGTCGATGATATTATTACACATACATTTATAGAATTAAAGCAGAATTCCATTCACTGCATTCAATGCACGCCCAAATATGTCTTCAAGACAATTCATTATTCATTTGATCTTTTATGACATTTCATTTGTTATTATTTTGAATTCGATAATAAGGGATGTCCTCTATCCAAGACATTGTCATTTTGGTACATGACTAAAATGTATTACGACTAAAACTGATTTCAATTTTCTTCATTTCCAGTCTCAGCAGGGGTACTTTCCATGGCCTCCTCCACTATAGGTTCAGATTTGGGTTCAGGTTCTGGGGTAGGTTCTACACTTTCTATGACGGGTGCAGTAACTTCTGCAACAGGTTTAACAATTGGTGCTTCAACAGTTGGTGGTTCAACAATTGGTGCTTCAACAATTGGTACTTCAACAACTGGTGCTTTAAATATTGGATTTTCAACCATTGGGGTTTCAATTTGTACTTCAGGGGCTGCTTGAGATACTTTAGGACTCACAGGAAGTGGGACTTTAAAGGGACTATCTCCCAGCGTTGGGGGAGCAGGTTTCTTAAATGGATCCTCTTGAACAACATTAACTTTAGGTGGATCTTCAGTCACAATAACTTTAGGTGCTTCCTCAGTGACGATAACCTTAACTGGCTCCTCTAGTTTAGGAGCATCTGACTGTGGTGCGGGTTCCTCATCATCTGCGAACATATCAGATAATGGTCTCATTTTATGAGTAGGTGATGAATCCTCCCCAAATGCACTAGAAGCTGGGGCATTATCTAAAGGTACAGTTTTGTTTAATTTAATAGCTAAACCTAATTTCAACGGAGCTGCAGGTTCTGTTGGTTTTTCAGGTGTTTTGACCACTTCCTCTACCTTATCTTGGACTTTAGTTTCTTGTGGTGAGGCAGTTTCTTCAACTGAGAATGCTGGCTTAAAAGCAGGTTTAAAGTTTGGAACATTTTCAGCTGAGTCATCAGATTTAGATTCTATTTTATTTTCACTCACAGATGGCTTCTCCTCTTTTTCATTGTTTGAATCCTTTGAGTCCTTTTCTCTCGTTGTATCTTTATCCTTATTATTATCTCTATCTTTTGAATTGTCATTATCCCTTTCTCTTGCATTGTCCCGATCTCTTGAACTTTGTCTTTCACGGTCTCTTGAATTGTCTCTAGTAGTATCCCGATTATCTCTTCTATCCCTTTCGCTACGATCTCTATCTCTATTATATCTCTCATCACGATCACTCCTGTCACGAATATTAGTATTCCTTTCATCTCTGTCCTTATATCTATCATCACGATCTCGACTTCGATCATCTCTATCTCTACCACGATCATCTCTCCTATCATCACGCCTATCGTCCCGACGTTCATCCCGATCTCTTCGATCTCCTCGCATATCACGATCTCCACGATTGTCTCTCATGTCTCGATCTCTTTCACCAAAGCGACGATCTTTGTTCTCACTACGATCACGATCTCCACCCCCAAAGTCTCGCCCACCACGTCCTCTAAAGCTATCTCGACCTCTGTTATCATGTTCCCTACTGCGACGATCTTCATCTCTTTCTCCACGGTTGAATCTGTCACGCTCTCTATCTCTGTCATTGTTATCATTATCATTCCCACGGAATCCTCCATCTTGTCTTTCCATCATATTATTGTCTTCGCGAGCATCAGGTCCTCTGAAAAAGTCTTCCATTTGTTGCATATTGGGAGGTCTTTCTCCTGGGAAATTGCCTGGCATTGGGCCTCTTGGTCTCATATCCATCCCGGGGTTAGGGCCCCTATGATCAAAGGGGGGTCTCATTTCTAATCTTGGGCCTCTAGGATCAAACTGAGGCCTCATTTCAACCATACCTGGTCGCATCATTCCAGGAGGGCCAGGACGGGGACCCCTAAACTCCATTGGTGGCCCACCTCTCATGTTCATATTCATCAATCTTGGGGGTCCACCAAGTCCTCCTAATCCACCAAGGCCTTGTGGGCCCATCTCTCTTGGTTGGCCCATTGGGCTACCAAATCGTGCAAACCCTTCAGGACCTCTAGGTGCCATACCCACTCTTATCACAGTTTGAGGAATCTGTTGTAATATAGGACCATTTGGACCATGTTGGATCATCCCACGAGTCATAGGGTTCCCATTTATTGGTATACGAACTAGACCTACTGGTGCACCACCTATGGACATCCTGGGAGCTTCACGATTGTTGGGATCCATTAATCCTCCAGGGGCAGGACTCCGTTGTTCCACATTAGGTCTCAACATACTTAGTCCAATTCCACGGCCATCAGGTATACGCACAGGCTGGCCATGAATTTCTGTTATAATTGGGCCCGAGCTACGAATTCCTCCAGAGTTCAAGTTTAACATACTAGGTTGCATGGGGGCATCAGTGTTGATCTGCTGTCCTAAGCTCAACATACTTGGCACACTGCTTGATATGGTTTGTATGCGATTCACAATCCTAAGCCCAGGTCCTAGCATACTATTTGGGGGTTGATTATTCAAGCCATTGGGGCCCATTGGGCTCATATTAGGTCCCACTGACCTGGGGCTTTGACTTGGGGGTTGACCCATAGGACTGACATTGTCTCTGAATTGAGGTCTGATCTCTTGCCTCATGTCATTATCCTGGCTGAATGGAGGTCTAAACTGAGGTCTAGGCCCCATTAATCCCCCTCCTCCTGGATCGTTCCTGATTGGTTCCAAAGTACGATCCAAAACACGAACATTAGGCTCTTCCTGTTGGAACTTTGGACCATCGCTGGGCATATCATCATTGTTGCTACTGAATCGAGTTCTACGTGTGCCTCCACCTACAGATGGCACTGTCCTAACATTTGCGCCACCTGCATTACCCATAGCAGCCTCCTCATTACGAATATTCTGTTTCTTCCATTTTTCTAACATGCTGTTGATGTTTGGGTTCTTATTCTGATCTGGCTCATCTCGTGAAGGGGGCCTAATGGGGGTAGATGAAGAGGCAATCGTCTGTATACGCTGTGCCAATGGACCAGTGTTCTCTGTGGGGACTCTACTATTAACAGGACTAGGTGGCTCTGGAAGGTAAAGAAAACATTTTAAAAAATAATAAAAAAACACAAAAAGTTTTCTTGAACATTTACATATACTTATTACATCTGCTTTTTCAACTTTGACAAATATATCAATACAAGACACTTGAGTGATGAACAGAATATATCTAAGAATACAGTTCATTGTGTTTTTCAGAACAAACCTGTAGCTGGTGGCAGTGGTGGTCTCATCTGAGGCATGGGGAAAGGGATTTGACCTAAAAAGCACAACAATTTTCTTTAAAATTAAAACTGATGATACAGGGGAAAGTGAGTATAAGTAATTTTCACCAAATAAATGATCACTTATTTTTGCAAAGAGCTGTGAAGTGCATCAGGGTTAAAAAGTTCGTTGGAATGATGTTCTTCAATGAACATTCAGAGTTGGATCTTTTTCATCATTTACACTTAATACCAACAATATAATTGTAATATGACATAATTTCAGGTAAAACTTATACGATATGCCAAATGCTAGAAGCTGGCCATAACAAGATCATATTAAGAATTTTAGTATATATGTTATAAATCCTGACTTTAATAGGCCTCGTTTTATATTGATAAATAATGAATAAAGCAAGTCACTGTACAAAACATACATAAGAATGGCAATCTTTGAAAAGTGGATTTTTCAACCCATTTTCAATCAGCTTCATACATGATGATAATAAGAGAGTATCTGCTAACTTACCAGGCATGCCTGGTGGTCTTGGACCTGCATCACGTGGAGGACCCTGAGCAACTGCTGTGATAGATGAGGAGTTGGATACTATGTTTTGTATGGCTGCAGCAAGGGAATTAGATGGAGGTGGATGCATGTCATCCTAGAAACAAATCAATGCAGGTTTCTCACAAATGGTGTATAAAATCATAAGCATTTTGTCAAGCTATAGCACAGTGCCTATCTAGTGTAGCTGATTTTAATGTTGTTTCTGGCTCATATACAGACGTTGTAATGTTTATGCCAGAATTGGACAGAGTTGAGTATTTAGTGTATTCATGGCCCAATACAGTATACTATGTATCGTAAAAAGGAACTAAAACCAGAGGTCCTTATTGAATATCTGAAATTGAATGTTATCTTAACTATCAAGTCCATTTTCATAAAATGTGGAAATGGTTTTATCTTGTGGTTTCCAAACTGACCTACCTTAGGGGGTGGTCCCTGTGGTAGCATTGGGGGCATTCCAGGGGGCATACCACCAGGCATCATAGGCAACCCTCCCTGCATTAGAGGGGGCCTCATCCCCATAGGTAACTGATTCTGCCCACTAACTGAAGGTGGCATACCAGGGGGCCCTCGTGGGGGCATTCCAGGAGGAGGCCCTCGTGGGGGCATACCAGGAGGCATAGACATCATAGGTGGTAGCATACCCATTGGCATCATCGGCATCATACCTACAATCGTACCATCATTTACAATTACAACCTATCGTATGGACTTTAAATCTTTAGGGAATTAATACATTTCTTCCAATCTACGAGTACTTGGATATTTCACAATTTTACAGCAGATTCAACATTTTACCAAATTCAATGTGTGATTTTCACAATTGATTCCTTCAAAGTCACTATCAGTGCATTTACATTTAGTAAATGACCAGCATATAACATGATGATTTGAGGTTTGTAGTGTATGAGACGACAGTAAAGTTGAGAAAATATCAAAATTTTACAGCTCAGTTTTTGTAACATTTTTACAAATGTAGCTGTTGGAAAATGTAGACAAAAATACAAAAGGTGAAGTTCATAATGAGCAACACCTGTATTTGCATCTTGGGCATTTAATTTCTGTACCGTACACAAAGCTCTAAACTACTGAAAAGTAGAGAACCAAATTCAAGCACAGATTTGGGTAGAAAACAATTAGTCTAATTAATTGGATGCTCTATTCATATACATGGGGCAAATATCTTCACCAGGCTGTTACTTTTAATAATATATGGAGCATACCTGGGGGCATTGGGAATGGCATTCCAGGCATCATTGGCATTGGTGGCTGTTCTGTTATTGGAACAATACTCTCTCCACTCAGTAGTTCTAAAAATTAGCCACAAAATATTGATAATTTTAAACAAGTATAGAACAAGTATTATTTGTCAAAATGTTAAACTTTTTGTTTTGGGAACCATGAAGTGCATCAGGGTTAAAAAGTTCGTTGGAATGATATTCTTCAATGAACATTCAGAGTTGGATCTTTTTCATCATTTACACTTCATAAGTTTTAAATCTCATCATAGCTGTTGGGAAAAAAAACTGGACGTCAATATTTCATATTTCTTAAGGGACCAAATGCTTAACTATAGGCTTTTACTTTAATTTCTTAACTTTAATTTCACTGTTATTTTACTTATTACATCTTTTTACTACATGTATATAATTTCTACCTACTTTTGATTTCATCAGACGCAGAATCCTCATCTATCTGGCCGCCATCTTGTAGCTCTGTTAATTCATCCATAGTCTTAGGTACAGATGTCCAAGGAATAAAAGATGTTCCAACATCCACATCCCAGAAGTTCTTAAATTGTGACCCTTTAACTCCTTTACCAGGAGCATAAGCGACTTTTAGGTCACTGCCATTGAGCTTGACTCCCCGAAGTTTCTCAACGACTCTTGCTGCATCTTTGCGTCGTTTAAGGACAATGAATGCACAACCTCTCGGTGGGATCATCTGAAAGAAAAGTAGATTATTTAAATAACATCGAATTATTCGATCAAAAATGCAATATCTTTGCTTGTATCTCAGATAAGTGTATAAGATATGTGTATATATTTGTATGTAAGAGCACTGACTGACAACTAATATGATTGAGTTCACCATTAGTTGCATATTAGACTCTTGGTTAATCTTGCACATTCACAATGGTTTAGCCTGGTATATCAGAAACCAGCCAAATGGTAAGATGTGCAGAGAATTAGTGTGAAAAATAAGGTGGTAACAACCCATAAAATTCAAAATTTACAGCCAAGTTCCACTGGGAGATACTTAATTAGAGAGATTACCTGAGAACAGTAAGAAGGCTGAAAGAGTAACCCCAGTCACATTTGCTCTACAGCGGCCATAGCTTCACAAAATTGATATTGAAAACCTAAAAGGTACTGCTTATCCCTTTATTTTATGCTGCATATTTCTCTCGATTTTTGGGAGATAAAGTCATCTATGGTTGCTGTAGATCAAATATGACTGAGGCATTAGGCTCACTATTAAGCCAGAAATAGGTTTGAGATTGCAAGAACCATTAATTACTAGACAACAGCAAAGCCAAAGCGTAGCAAGTTCCATCGAACAGCCATGGCTGCCATTTTTACAAAATCCTTCTGCTACAGTCTCAGTTATAGCAAAAATTCAAAACGACTACCTTCTAGCAAAAGTGTCATTAAACAGTGTGCCATGCTTATGAGTATTCACACATCAAATATGAACAAAATCGCTCTGTTACTTTTTGAGTTATAGTAAAAACGTAAAATAAGAAAAAATGGCAGCCATTTTCAAAATGGTTGCTCACTTGCCAAATTATCATAAGACAGTGTACCATGCTAGGCTTATGAATATTCACATATATCAAATATGAACAAAATCGCACTATTACTTTTTGAGTTTATAAAACGTAAAATAACACAAGTAAAAATGGCGGCCATTTTCAAAATGGTCGCTCACTAGCCAAATTATCATAAGGCTGTGTACTATGCTTATGAGTATTCACATATCAAATATGAACAAAATCGCTGTATTGTATGTATGTATATATCTATTGCCCTTTATATAAAGGAGATACAATTATTACTTTTTGAGTTTTAGTAAAAAATGTAAAATAATTGAATAGCTTCCAGAAAACAATAGGCAAAAAAGTGGGAAACCAAGCCTCTCACTAATGAGGTCAATATGGCACCCAAGTGTGCAATAATTAGAGGTTATGTCACTATCGTTGCATATATGCCTGAGGGTTTCAGTGATATATGGCCCGACCTTGGGAGGGACATTGATCACGGAGAACCGAGGGCATATGTGCAACTATAGTGACATAAACGATTTATAACATACCTATGATCTGGTCAGAGAGTACTGTTTTCTTATCTTATTGACTAGCAATGGTTCGGAAATGAGGATTTATTCCCATGTTTGCATCTTACGAATGTACGAGTCAATTTGACCTAGGCCTAATGTATGACGTAGTCCCAGCGCTTGACCAATCAGAAAGTTAGCGGGCGCGGGCTTTTCAAAAGTTATATTGGCCCGCTGTCTTGTGAACAGTTTACACTATACATCATCATAGGTATGTTATAAAAACATTTAATGCATATGCTTGTTTATAAGAGCCCTGACTGACAACTAATATGACTGAGTTCACCATTAGTTGCTAATTACACTCTTGATTTATCTAGCACATTCACAATGGTTCAGCCTGATATAAGAGAAACCAGCCAAATGGTAAGATGTGCAGAGAATTCGTGTGAAAAATAAGGAGGTAACAACCCATAAAATTCAAAATTTACTGCCAAGTTCCATGCGGAGATATTCTCAACCATGCTTCAGTAATGACAAGAATTCAAACGAAAATATACTTATAAAACTTTGTAAATTTTTAATCGAGGCTGGGCAAAAAAATGTACATTTATAATGTTATCTTAATGTTTGTTACTGTATTAGTTAAGTTTATCTTTTGTACTCTTATACCCTATAAAGGGTGAATTGAGAAATCAATAAAAAAAGAAGAAAAAAAGGTCACCTCAACCCAATAGCTCATCCCAACAGGGTTTACTTACATGTATTTGATCCACTTCACCATGGGCCTCTACCTCATGTCTTATCTCATCTTCACTTGTCAGTTTAGCTATATGGCCTATCCAAATTGTTGTACTGCACACTGAAAAATTAAGTTCTATATTAGTTTCAGTAAATTACATACCTCCTGAATAAATCGAATAAACAACAGTTACAAACAATAGCAACCACTGAAAGCAAAGTCTATAGTTTAGAGCACAACAATAATGTTCAGTATTTAAGAATTATATCACAGTGAAAGTTTGAGTTAAGAAATATTGATATCGAAGCAAAGTAAAATTAACTTATACACCCTGCGTAAAATCAGATATTACCCCTATCAATTGATTTAAAATAAATGGAGAAGATCAACACTACACATACCACTAAGTTTATTTTCCTGGATAGGTGGCAGGCCTTTGTGACGTCTTTCTCGCTCCTTTTCACGCTTAATACGGTCATCCTCACGCTCCTTTTCACGTAAACTACAATGTACATGTATTGCAATAAGTATTATATTGTTGAATTTAGTTCTCATGATCTTTCTATTTCCTTTCATTTCTTAAAATTCTTTCACAAGTCACAACGTTTACAATCAAACTGAAGAATTATTTCTCAAGATTGAAAAATAGATTTTATCTTATTAATTGTATAGACAGACATACTAGTGATCAAGTCCAAGATGTACAAGAACTACATAAGTATCTCTGTCATTTTATTTCTGTACCGTACACAAAGCTCTGAACTATTGAAAAGTAAAGAACCAAATTCAAGCACAGTTTTAATGAAAAAAACTGAATTTACATATCTTACTTATTTTGTGATCTGCTGCGCCTGTCTCGTGACCTGGACCTGCTTCTGCGCCTATCCCGTGACCTTGACCTCCTACTTCTTTTCCTTGGTGACCTATGTTAGCAAGTCAGAGAACAAACTCTTTAGCAAGTCAGAGAACAAACTCTTTAGCAAGTCAGAGAACAAACTCTTAACTTCAACTACTGGATTAATTTAAGACATGTTCGATTCAACATTCAAATCTACAGCCACTTCCTCTATTCTCTTTCAAATATCAGAAAACAATATTCAATTTAAATACAAATGAAGGACCCACGGTCCTGTGCTCACACAGTTTGGAACCTTCAGAGGAATGTATATCTGACTTTCAAACAAAAATATTGATTTGGATTTGTAGTCTTGAACTTTGAGAAACTTAGATAGCACAGTTGTGTGACCTAGTTTGATGACCTTTGACCTTGAAAATTTTTCGAATTCAGAGCTCAGTAAGGTCTTTTGTGATTAAGCTGACCAAAATTTACATCCAAAAATCAATTTGAAAAATCAACTTTTTTGACCTTTCGAAGGTCACTGAAGGTCAAATAAAGGTCAAATCCTAAAACTAATGTCAGATTTGAACTCCTGGCAACTTGTAGATGATTTTCAAAAAAAAATTTGGTCAAATTGAAGCAAGTTGAAAAATAACTTATTTTTACTGTTTTTTGATGTCAAATATCTCAAAAATGGTAAAAATTTGATGCTGACATATATTGAGCAATATGTAGGGAATGCTTAAATCTAGTAATGATGTAATTCATTGCAAGAAATGATCAAGTATAAGGCAAACTTTGAGAAACCTGCCATTGACTTTATAAATGAGAAAGTTTCTTGAAAATGAGTCCTACTTTTTGTCAAATTTTATAAAGTAAAAACCAAAAACTGTAATTCCAAGAGCTTTGAAATCTTCAGAGGACATAAGTTGCATATACAGCAACTACTAAAAGTTATTTCAAAGTTCTACTTCAACAAAGTGTCTAGTATTTACAGAAAAATAGGTCAAATAGGCATTATGGATATGCATAAAATGAATGTGGATATGACTCAATCCGAATAGCAGTTTTAATTTGTGCGGCCAATGTTGACGGATGGACGGACCAACGGACGGACGGACGGATGGACCAACGGACGGACGGACGGATGGACCAACGGACGGACGGACGCCTGGTCGATCCCATAGGCTCACTGTGTGAGCCAAAAATACAATATTCCTACCTAGATCGTGACCTGGATCGTCTACGCCTACGTGATCTCCTATCATCGTCCCGTTCTGAATCACCATGACGATCTCTGTTGTCATAATCCCCCTCAATCTTTGCAATGTCATCATCAGGACCAGCATCAGGGTGGGGCACTCCCATTGGAGCATTGTTGCTATATGAACTAATAGCACTTGTACTCTGAAATCAAATTATAATTTTCTAGCTGACTGTGGTTCTGTTAATATTTTTAATATGTTAATTCTGAATTCTGATGAACAGTACTGCACCCAAATCAGTGAAAACATTAGAGCCCAAAAATGAGATACTACCTCTTAAACTGATTATACTGTATTGGGTCTAAGGGGTGAAACATCCAGGGGATGAAATATTTACTGAAATATCTTGTTACTGTTATTTACTGGTTTAGGGTACAATTAATATCTGAACTCACAAGTTGTCTATTGAACTCTGCCTCCTGTTGTTCTAGCATCTGTTGCCTTTGTCCTATCTCATTCTTCAAATTCTGTGTCTGCTTCAATGTCTCTGACATCTGTTGTATCTGCTGCATCAACCCAGGATCATTCAATAAGTTCTGAACTCTTAAATTTTTAAAAAAGAATAAAATGCATGAACTTAAAAGCAATTACTATAGATTAAAAGCTCACAAAAAACAACACAAAAGGCTTAAATGAACTGCTATTAGAAAGTTAATGATTAAGTTCCATTTGAGGTCACAAGAAATTTTAGAATTTTTCAAATCATTTATTTCAAATATTCATATTACAGATTATGGACAGCTGTTATCGTCTGACCAGAATATGTGCTACCAAATGTATCTTTAAATTCCTTTACAAAATATAAGGAGAATGTCTGCTTACTGTTAGTTTATTGCTAAATGTGTCAGTATTCATTTTAAGTAAACCTCATCCTAAATACATTTTCATATCGAGCCATATCTTTTGCAATAATAGTAGTGTTCCTTTCACCTTATTATTACACTTACCCACTTAGTGTGCTGTCATTTTCTTTCTTTTCTTCTTCTTCATCACTCTCACCATAATCAAACTCCAAAAGTTTCTACAACATACCAGTCACCAAACATAAGTAATGAGAAACATATAGTAAAGTACAGTACATTATAGTACTCATTCTTGTGCGCTATATCGCACTCAACTATATAACGCACATATTCTTTAATCTGACAGTTCAATTAAATTTACTGTTCTACATTTTTGAAGTTCAGTGCATAACATTATTGCAAATTGATATATTTCATGATTTAATATAAATACCCAGACTTTACACCATAAATCCTAATATACCCTAAAGGCTGACTGCAGAACTGAACAGAAAATTTCAACAAAGAAACCAATAAGCATGTAAAACACTGCATATATAGTTAGAGGTAAAATAATTCATGAACCTATAAACTAGTTATGAATTCTTTAAACGAAATGAAACTTTTTACCAAGAAATTATTTTACCGACATCCATTGAAGACACATGGAGAACTAATATTCAATCAAACGATAAATTAAAGAAAAATCTTTCCAATGGTAATCATTTCGAAAACATCGAACAGCAAAAGTAGATATTGATGAGAGCTTGTCAAGTGCATCAGGGTTAAAAAGTTCGTTGGAATGATATTCTTCAATGAACATTCAGAGTTGGATCTTTTTCATCATTTACACTTGAAAACAAGCTAAAATATTTAGATTTCTCACAAAACTACTAAATTCAGTAGACAAAACATGTACTCAACTACCAATCAAATCAGATAACATGATTACAATGGCTGAAGAGAGTGAATTATCCAGTAGTGATTACAAAATAAGACTGCTGGAAATCAATGCGATCCATAGTATACATTATACAGAAAATTCCAAATACACTGTTTTTTCAATGGATCATGGTGACTAGATAGCTACCTTGTTAAATTCTGGTGGTTTTTCATCATTGCCCAGTAGTTGGTTAGTAAGGGTCTGTATCTGTGCTAGCACTGTGCTATCAATGGATGGCTGCTCCTGGGGGGCCGAGAGAAATGTTTGAGCTGTTAGCTGCTGTTGAAGAACCTGAAGCTGTTGCAGCTGTAGTTCTTGGTCACCAGAATCCTAGAATAGTGATAACATGTGCATTATCATTTGAAGTTAAACTCTATGAATTTTTATCTAGGACTTTTGGGGTTTTAGGTATAATTTATGGGCAAAAGAAACAGCATTTAGTCATGATTGCTATTGCTGTCTAGTAGTACATCGCGGTATTACTGGAAGTAGCGCGGGTATATGTGATACTGGTATTGAAATTTGATGCCACTTGCAGCACTCCTGTCTTGTACAAGGCATTAATTTGACAAAACGATACCACCCAATAAGTTATTGCAAATGGTTATTTTAGTGTTACAATTCATTACATAGACAAACCACCAGATACCAGTCTGAAAAACAGTGACTATAACAGTAGGTCACCACTTGAGTTGTCTCTGTGGCTAGATTGGGACAGGGCAATAATTGGAATAGGTTTAAGTTAATTTCATGCAAGAGTAGAGCAACACTTTCCTATAAATATTTGGCAGAGAATTTATGCTCAGATAAAAAAATAATGTTGTTTATTTGAATCATCCAACTGCCTTTTTTAGGTCCTGTTAAAATAAAAGTATTAGGTCTTAATAAAATCTGAGAAGGATGTAGGACTAACATTCATAATTTTGTAGATTGAGATACAGAAGTCCAAGTACAAGATGTAAAAGAACTACACTAGCATCTCAGTCAGTTTATTTCTGTACCGTACACAAAGCTCTGAACTATTGAAAAGTATAGAACCAAATTCAAGCACAGTTTAAAAAAAAATCCCTGAAAATTATCTGACAATACACAAACAAGGAAAATGAAATGAGACCACCCACCTCCCAAGTTGGTGACAATGCCATACCTTCAAAGTGCAATAAAAAAAATCACTGAACATGTACTGTACTTACATCCTGTGCCTGTAGCAGTTGTGTTACAGTTTTGAGAACATCATTCTGTGCTTCATCTACATCTTCACTGCTCTCTTTCTTGCTGCGAGATGACTTCTCCTTCTTATGTGAGGATTTGGGCAGAGTTGGTATAGGGACTGGCTTCTTATTTGCCATGAACTCACTGGCAGCTGCTTCACCTAAGTAACAAGTGTTATTTTTGTATGAGTGATATGTGTATATCTGAAATTTATTTTTCTCTCCTCAAATGTTCAAAATCAAAATGTTCAGAATCAAAGTGTAAAATACGCCTCTTAGCCTCAAAGTGTAGCATAAATGGTGGAATGTAAAACGGGATCAACAAAAACGAAATGTCATCCCATCCATTTACTAACTACTTAACATCAGCCAATGTCCACAAAAAAGTTGGAGACTATAACAATATGTCACAAATTGTAGTGGTGACATAATGAACACCGACAAGATTATCATATGGAAACATCAGAACATGTTTTGTATAATTTCATTCTGAATCTATTAATTTAGTCCAAAGGGAAGTGTATCAGGGTTAAAAAGTTCATTGGAAAGATGTTCAACATAAATTATCTGAGTTGGATCTTTTTCATCATTTACATTTCCTGGAGCAACATTCTAAACAATACAATTTCTCTCTGATTAAAAATGGCACGATTCTATGGATTCATGTGGACAAAATATGATATTCATGGACAATCGCAGATTTCCCAAACCAAGGTAAAAGGAGCCAAACCAATTGTGTCAATTACCAGTGGTAAGGATCCCAAGAATGAGCAACATACCATGGGCAACTTCAGAGTATGCTAGTAGAGCTGATAAGTGTGTACTTACATGCTGTGACAAGATGCTGGTTGGCAGGATCAGCTGCAAGATCTAACAATGGTTGAATTATCTCACTGGGAAATACAGAGTTTTTCTGCCACAGGTTCAAGACTCGAATCAACTTACTCTGAAAGTAAAATAAGCTTGATTAACACAAATTGTATCACATTGTGGTATCTCTCTTTGCTCTGTTCAGGTTTTATATAAACATGATCACTTGAACTAAAACATTTTGCACTATCATTCAAATGATCTACTGCTGATGTTCCATCAACTTTCATCAATTGAAATACTGCGAGAGTTTTTCTACTCTGATCACTCCAAATGATGCTGTTCAGAAGATAAAATTTTTGTGGTTATCTGGAGGACTTTAAATTGAGAGAAGTGTATCAGGGTTAAAAAGTTCGTTAGAAATGTGTTCAACATAATTTATCTGAGTTGGATCTTTTTCATCATTTACACTTCTGTAATATAGCCATTATTCAAAAATTGTCAAACATCATTAAATCTTACATCAGATATCTAAACAGAACTTGTGTGAATTATATTTTTTCTATGGGGGATGAATATGGCTTTTATCTTGAAGATATTCAAAGCAGCAGTTACACAGAAGTAAAGGCTTCTGGTGGTGACATAAAATCATTTTGATCACAATTTGCAAATGGGCCAACAAATCAGTCAAAATATATTCTTAGGATAAATAAATATTTCATATAATTACCTTTTCTTCAGATGGACATTTGAAGAGGTTCTGGAAAGTTGCAGTAATGTTCTTTACGAACCTTCCAGCAAAAACATCGCGATCATGTCCAAACTGGTGACGTGACTGACGGACAATTGAGTCTATCACATACAGTCCTGGTACTTTGTATTCTGGACGACACTGAAATAACAAATATAGCTCAATAAAACTTAACTTCATAGAATATGCAAAATCTAACAAGTGAGTGATTGCAATAGCTTACCATGTGAGCTAAAATGTAGGAAACTGTTTAAAATTATGTATGTAGATTTCTCAATATATTTTCCAAAATCTTGAAAATCTTTTACGAGTTAATTTGACATAAATATACAATCGCTAACACCATTGAAAGGGATAAGACCCAACTTATGTCTTGTTCTGCATTAGGTTTGTTTTGCTGTATTTTTGATTTGCCCCCTACCTGCGTGCTTCCCCATAAACAAACCAAGGGATCGGTCAATTTATTTAGGTTCATCAGTGAAATAACTTAGTCTATCGCAGAAATACCGTATTAGAAATGATCGATCTGCATTATCCAAGATGGCGATGTAAACATTCGGTAAAATTAAGTTTTTAACCTCAATAAAATGAAAAGTGGTCATGGAGATCACTAAGTAATAACCACTGCTTCAGGAAGAAAACAAGTAATGATTCAGAAACATTTGGGAGTGAATAGCCACTAAAACTACGCTGGTTTTGAGCCCCTTGTCCCGTTCCGAAAGTGCTGCCTTGTGTTCCGAATTCCGATACCGAACCCAAATACCTAGGAACGGGACAATTTCGGGTAACTGTCCCATCCCTATATGATACACCTTACTTAATTTCAAATCAACCTACCTTTTGAATGAACTTTTCCACACTCTGTACCACATGTTTGTAAAATTTGATGGACTTGATGGCCAGCTTTGTGATATTTGCCATCTTCTGTCTCGAGATGGGAGGCTTGACCTCGTACACCGCAGACAACTGAAAGACAAAATTAACTTATATTTAAAGAGAAATAAGCATTTCTGTTTTTTTCGGTATACTTTTAGCATTTTGAGAAAATATCTTCACACATAAGAGTTTATCTCTCTGGAAATATTTGTATCTCCCGCAGTCGAAGTGACAGTCTAAGTTGTCTTACTCCAATTCCTTGTCCCTCCAACTTAATATCTTACTTCCCTTAGGTGGGAAATAAGATGGGGGAAGGGGCAGACACTTGATGAAAGACCTCTGTCTAAGAAATTGGCAAAAATGAGTTCATAATTTTGTATGGTGAAATCGTGCCTAACAGGTACAAACTGTCAGCCATATTGATTTCTACAATTGATGTAGCATTCAGTTAGAATCACAACCACTTTATATATTATGGCGTGATGGTTATAGAATGCAATTAAAATTAAAGCTTCATAAACAAAAACATGGGGGTAAAGCAGACCCGATGATGCGATGAGCTTGCTCGGCGGTATCATGACTGTGTAACGGGTCTTAATGTATAAGTGTGCTCGGCGGTAGGTTCAAACAACGCGGATCCTCAAAGCATGTGCTCATGGTATATTTGTGTTTTAACACCCGTGAAAAAATGAACTTTTTTAAAACAGACTACTGTATGAACATAATATGACCGTTGAACCATATAACCTTGAAACAAGTCAGTTTTCAAACTATATTATTTACCCTGCGTGCAGAGTCTAGTTAAACTACACTCTGCCTAGTAGAGACCATATTACAGTTTAGTAGCCCCGCCCCCACGACGGGTACCGGTGACAGTTTGGGTAAATCACTTTTGACCTACACGCTGACCTTCCACCAATCAGCGAGCTTGAAGAAACATACGCCAAATGCGTTCTAATTAAATATGCGCATGTCATTGGTCAATTCCGGGCTCAACGATGACGTCAGAAGGAATGACCATATAAAGAACGTCGGTCAAATTTGGCCGACGAACACTGATTGGCGCGGTGAGTTCACAGGTTTATTTTAGTTTGAAAGAGTGAAGACGAAGCTCTCTTTTAAGAAGTGAAGTCAAACGAATGCAAAGGGTATATATTATTGTATCTTCAAGGTTAATTTAGCTGAATTTAGTGTTCTCTATTCTTCACAAAAGCTGATTTGCGAGAGTGAGGAGTAACCTGCGAAACAATACAATTGTTTGATAATATGATTTCTCGATATCACGCCTGGTGATCGGACAAAATAAACGGAGGGGGGATCTCTGCAAGAAAATCTAACAAATCTGGAAGAGAAAGTTCACAACTGAATTGCTAAATGAATAGGCGCAGTATATGGCAAAATATGTCAGGTCTTCTAGTATTTTTTGGGACTGAAACGCTTCTAAGATATGAGATCTATTAAAAAAAGGTGCATCATCACCAATGTGCAAAAGTCAATGTTTTTGCTATACTATAAATCAGGCAACAATATTCTACACAACCTGTAATAGATAGGTATAAGAGACGTTATTATTACAACACTAATGACATTGCTTGCTTTTTAAAGTTATTAAAGTTAGTTTCCATGCGTTATATAAAAAAAAATCAAAAAAATTAATATTGAATGGAGAGGGAGTGAACAGAGGGGGTGGTAATATGTCTTTAAGATGGCGTAGCAAATCCCAGCGAACAGCCATGGCTGGCATATTTACAAACAAAGCAGTATATAGCAAAAGGGCAGCCATTTTTCAAAATGGCCACCTTCTACCAAAAGTGTGATTAGACAGTGTGCCATGCTTATAGTATTCATATTACTATTACAGTTTTACATATTGCACCTAAATTACTGTAAAATCGGCACTAAAATGGCCACAATTTTTTTTTAAATGAGCGGCCATTTTGAAAATCGGCTTTTGAGCAGAACTTCTACCCCATAGGGTATGTGTGTATAAAATATGAACAAAATCGGACATAAGTAGGTACGGACGGATGGACGGAGGCGTTCCCTATATGACAACAATCTTGGGGATCTTATGGACATGGTGCTAATCATACATACGACACTTCGAAGCACCCTTATTCAATTCTTTGTCCCTTACCCCTTTATATCTTAAATCCTAAAGATGGTATTTAGATGGGTGATGGTTGGAGAAGGGTTACTTGATGTAAAGAAATTGGCAAAAATGATTTCATAATTTTGTATGGTGAAATCGTGCCTAACAGGTACAGGTCAGCCATATTGATTTCTACAATTGATGTAGCATTCAGTTAGAATCACAACCACTTTATATATGATGGCATGATGGTTATAGAATGCAATTCAAATTCAAACAAGACAGAACAGTATCGCACACTTGAATAAACAGCTTTCAGGATGGAAAATTCAAAATGGAAATCTTAACGTTTATCCAGAAAGCCCAAAAACTAATCAGTTCTGAACCTTTATATGTACGAACATCCCTGAAACTTTCAGATGAATCCCTGAAACGGTTTGGCTGGAAACCTGTAGACAAGCCTAGAGAGACAAGAATAATTGGCCGCCTTAACCTGAATGCCCAAAAATGTTCTGAACTTTCCTAGATACAAACATCCCTCAAAATTTCATAGGAATCTCTCAAACAGTTTGGGTGGAAACCTGTAGACATGCCTTGACAAACAAGATTTTAGGACAAAAATTCAGAATGCCCAAAACTAATCAGTTCTAATCCTGGGTAGAAACATTGATACTTTCCAGAAATGAGAGGACCCACGGTCCTGTGCTAACACAGTTTGGAACCTTCAGAGGAAGGTATATCCTGACGTTCAAACAAAAATATTGATTTGGATTTGTAGTCTCAAACTTTGAGAAACTTGGATAGCACAGTTGTGTGACCTAGTTTGATGAGCTTTGACCTTGAAAATTTTACTTAGTCAGAACTCAGGAAGGTCTTTTGTGATCAAGCTGACCAAAATTTACATCCAAAAATCAATTTGAAAAATGAACTTTTTTGACCTTTCGAAGGTCAGTGAAGGTCAAGGTAAAGGTCAAATCCTAAAACTAATGTCAGATTTGAACCCCTGGTAACTTGTAGATGATTTTCAAAAAAGATTTGGTCAAATTGAACCCCTGGTAACTTGTAGATGATTTTCAAAAAAGATTTGGTCAAATTGAAGCAAGTTGAAAAATAGCTTATTTTTACTGTTTTTTAACGTCAAATATCTCAAAAAAAATATATTGAGCAATATGTAGGGAATGCTTAAATCTAGTAATAATGTAATTCATTGCAAGAAATAATCAAGTATAAGGCAAACTTTGAGAAACTTGTCAATCACAAAACCTGCCATTGACTTTATACATGAGAAAGTTTCCTGAAAACAAAGTCCTACTTTTTGTCAAATTTTATAGAGTAAACACCAAAAACTGTAATTCCAAGAGCTTTGAAATCTTCACAGGACATAAGTTGCATATAAAGCAACTACTACAAGTTATTTGAAAGTTCTACTTCAACAAAGTGTCTAGTATTTACAGAAAATTTGACTTTTTGACGTCAAAATCAGCAATAAAACCGGGCGAACTTGGGAAATGGCGATGACAGGTCAAATAGGCATTGTGGATATGCATAAAATGAATATGGATATGACTCAATCCGAATAGCACTATTAATTTGTGCGGCCAATGTTAGCGGACGGACGGACCAACGGACCCCCTCAGTCCCCCCTCAAAAAACTGTGTCCGTGAAAAAAGGTTCCCAGGAATTCAAAGTCACATTTTTATACTGAACAAAAAAATTGATGAAGTTTCTATAATAATCAGTTTTGTTATTTATCGGCCTAAATCAGCGTTCAACAAACGACTAGAAGGTCACTAAATGATACAGGTACCTTCACTTCAAAGAAATAACTAATATTCAACCATTGAATACGCATTTTCTTTTCGTATTTCAAGTAAATTCACTAGGGGCAATCTCCGTGAGATTCCATTTGTTAGTTCCGTTTTATGCGCATGTGAAACAAATCCAGTAATTGGATTAGTTAAAATTATTAAGACGCATGCACAACTAATAATCATGGCCAATCATAGGACTCGTACCGATTACCACTCAGCACTGTAGCAACTATCATACTACTGTCTGACTGTACTCCGGGTATTGTTCCCGTGCAATTTAATTTCGCTTTGTTCGCGAATGTAGTAAAATCGCGAACATTTATTGTCGTGAAATTTGTCTTTTAAATCCCCGGAGATTTGACCCAGGACTTTTGATATATTTCGTTCGGTGTAAAACGTTTCGTCCAGTGTTGTTGGGCGATTATTCAAAAAATAGCCGCGAAAATGCAATTTTGAAAAATCGTGAAATTTTATAGCGTCTAAATTTACCAGGAGTACAGCATTTCGATTAAAAATTAACTTCTGGAAACCTTCCAGAAAGTAAACTTCGAAAGAAAATATTGCATTTCTTTTAGAAATAGAATATCTTTCGTTTATTTAGCAGATTTTAACCAAATAAAAGATTGAAGGAAAGATCTTTTTCCGAGTCTATCAATTTTGTTTAATGAAAACACAGGACTTTTCGTCCCAGGGACTGATCATTAACATTTTTTGGAGTCCCTTCATCAAAATCCGGGTCCTAATGTTAAGGACGCATTACTGAAAGCTCTGAACATGCATAACCAGAATGCAGCCATTTGTTAATGGTCATTCGGAAATATCTGTAACGATTCGATATTTTCCGGTAAAACTACCATTTTAATATCTTGTCGAAAATGTCTACTCGACCAATAGAGTCTTGATTGGAACAGAGGCAGCTGAAAATTTCCATATAGTTTCACGAGCAAAAGCTACTGACGTAAGGAACATTCTGATATATAGAGTAAGCTCAATTTTTCAGTTTCAGACGTTACGATTGGCTTACGGCCAATCAGAATTACTCATCAGCCTTTGACACCGGTATCCTAATGGACTCTAAATTTGGGACACAAATAGGGCGAAGAGGTATACATCGACACTATTTTTTTGTTACTTCTACATCTTGTTGTTTCTAATATTCGACCTATGGGGATCTCTACTACTTTTTTCAAGGCCTGATTTCGTCGCTAACATGCTAAATATAAGAGTTAGCTGACGTTTGGGAGTCTGACTTACCTTCTAAAGGTTAGAACCCGAATCTTAATGAAACCATATCACCTTTGTTCCGTCAACCATGGAGCATTTGCCACAACATCCAAGAGGTAAATCATGGACCGAGAAAATGAATGATTTCCTTGTAAGTTCCGGAAGTTTCAATACGAAAAATTACCGAACATATATGAAAACCGAATATTTGTTCGTTGTTTTCACGATTTACAGGTTTGGATGTTCTTCAATGTTTTGGTCTAAATTATAAAGCATCACCAACTCTATTAATTGATTAATACAGCAGACGGCTCATATTTCTACGTAGCATTTAGTTCAGACCAAAAGTGGGAGTGTAGATCACGCAGTTTTGTTCGTTGCGTACTTCACTTGAAATTGGTAATTTTAAATATTGGCTACTTCACTTAGCATGGCGGATGTAGAACATTTCTTAATATTTTTTATATTTTCACACCAGACTTGCTTGATTGACACGTCAACAAAGTAAAGTTCATGGGTCAATGCTAGTGGTGTAACGAGTGACTCGGGTAATCGACTAGAACTCGAATGAGCCTCGAAAAATTATCAATCGATTGAAAATTTGAAAATCGTGATCCTGAAAATTTCTGAGAAAAATCGCGATTTACCCTCCATACTCACGATTTAAGCAAGGAATGTAGCTGCCTTTACGTTTTTCTAATAAATTACATACTTCTGACTATATTCTACAGATTGTTTATTTGATTTAATGGTCATTTGATGAGAATAACGTATGAGAATCGTATTCATTGCTTTTTATGTAAATGTTTACATCCGGTATATCGCATGCGCATATGTATTTTGACGGAAGTGGGAATTTCAAAGTCGAAAAAATCTATAAAAGGCTTATATCATCGCTAATATACGCTAAATGTGCGTCTAAAACATCCAAAACGGAACCCAATCCGTTCAGAACTACATCATTGAGTGGTCATTAAACCAAAAGTCGATGTAAGTAGTGACAAATGCCTTGATTTTCCAGGTTCTAATTTTTTGTCAATTTTTTTAAAAAATAATCGCCAAAATCGTCTACTCGATCGTCAAATTTATCATTCTACTCGAGTAGAGATTTTGGTGGCGAGTCCCACCACTAGTCAATGCGTTATTTCGTGATAACTACAACGCCTTCCCGGAAGTCAACATTGATGAAAAATGAAAAAGTCGGAAAAGCATTTACACTAATTTCTATCAAATGCTATGTTTATGCATCATCATCGACGCAACAAAGGTGATATGGTTTCATTAAGATTCGGGTTCTAACCTTTAGAAGGTAAGTCAGACTCCCAAACGTCAGCTAACTCTTATATTTAGCATGTTAGCGACGAAGTCAGGCCTTGAAAAAAGTAGTAGTATGTATCCAACAGACTGACTAGAAGTCAGTCTGTTATGATGTACTACTTTCCTGTGGAAATTGCAGTAAAAATTTTTGCACAAAATTATCAATTGGAGGAACCATTTCTTCAATAAAATAAACATTACACAGTGTGTCGGATAAGCGGTCGCCATTCGCCAAATGCCATCAGAAAATACATCTGGCGAACAGTTTTAATGGAGCACTTGCCATAGTGGCGATCTGGGATCAAATCAGACTTGAAAATCCGAAGATAATGGCATATTTCTGCCAAGGAACTCACCGAGATCGAAAATCCAGAACATCCGGATATTCCTTCTTGATCGATCCCGAAACGTTTTCTATCGTGGATTCTGATTGGCCGTGCTCTCGACTTCTTTATTCAAGAGTTCTGATTGGTCGAAGAGATCATATATATGCGCATAAAAACTGTGCAGAAGATATCGCCAGAAAATCTTTTTAAACTCGGACATTTCCTTCTTCAATCATCAAAATATTGGTTTAGTATAATGTGAAAAGCACCAAATGATAGATATTTATCGTGATGATGCACTGAATTACAAAATGTGCCACTTTTTCCGCATTTTAGTGTAAGTAATGATGAAGTACTCTATTATCGCCCACTGATTTCTTTCGGAAAATATTTTTTCTGTGTGTTCGGTAATAATACTTGGTTATTCCTTGATTTTTCTTGAACTTTGTGAAGCGGGGTGAATGGTTATTAGGGGGTCGGCGCTAAAAACGGCAATTACTGTTACTAAGCAACGTGTATTTTTTGTTCATTAATTTTTCTGTGTAGATCTATATATAGGGCCTAAAATTTGACTTTTATGAGGAATATCATGCTCAGTTTGCACAAAAGAGGTTCTAAATATCAATAATTTTCTGGAGGGGGAATGCGTCCGCCCCCCTCCCCCAGCCCGTGATACATTTTTAATCATCATCATATCATAGTGTTATTATTAGGGAATTAAATGATACTTTGATATAGTTGGATGCACAAGTTTGACAAATTGCATATTCTTAACTTTTTAGATAAAATAAATGATTTTCCTAAAAATTTGCGATGTTAGCGTAATTTTATACTGGCTAGTGAAAAATCTGTTTGGCCAGTGGTATCTGAAATCCAGTGGCCAAAATGGCTACCAGAAAAAAATCCTTATCTGACACACTGTTACAAAATTTCAATTAAATAGTAAGGTACAATTAAATGCAATAAAAAGTAACACAGCGTATTGTCAAGTGGAAATAAAGCTAGAGTCCATTTCACTGCTTCATTTCGTCAGTAGAACGGCAAAAATAAGAAATTGGGAGACCATTGTGCAATAATATATGGAAAAGTATATTCCTAATGTACATGAATGACATTTGTATATTTCAGATTTTTTAGTTTTTTGTGCAATAAGCCTGTGCCGTCTTGTAATTTGAAGAATTTCAGCCATGTTAATTTTATTGAAAATAACATGGCAGAGAAACATCCAAATATAAGAGGCCACACACTTTATAAGCCAAACTAGAAGCAATCCAAGATATACAAATGTCATTCATGTACATTATGAATATACATTTCCATATATTATTGCACAATGGTCTCCCAAATTTCTTATTTTTGCCGTTCTACTGACGAAATGAAGCAGTGAAATGGACATTAGTTGAAGTAACAAATGTGCAAATCAATTTTACCCAATCGGCCATTTTGAATGGCACTTCCTATGTAAACAAATATCTATAATTACCAAACTTTAACATAGGTGCCTTATAGTCTGAATATAATTCAGACTAAATAGGATATAGTCTATGGGGATCTCTAGCCATGTTTTTTCTAGAATGGATCAAGAGGGTCGCGATTATCCCGTTCCCAGACTATGGTCCTGTGAACATCTCAATCTTTTGCCTGTGCGATTACAACATGGGAGAATTTTTTACTCATCTTACACTTCAGATACCTACTTCAATAGATTCCTTGGTAATTTAGCATTCTTTTCGTGTAGTTGAATCTACAATTGTCTGGGTTTATCGGCAGAACGAAGACATTTTCGTTTTTGATCGCAATATTTGTGTGTAACATTTAACCTATTTCAACCGTCAAATTCCTCCATATTGGTACTTCCGGGCTACATCCGGGACAGCCAAACGGGGGATTCCCCTTTTAAATCCAACCGCCATTTTGAAAAGTGATGGAATCTCTCTCGATGAAAAAGAGAAATGTTCCCGTTCTGCCGATATACCCAGACAATCGGCGGTTCCAATATATTAGAAGTTACATCTTGAGTTCTATAATGCATTGAGGTAGGTATCTTAAGTGTAAGGGGCGTAGATAATTCTCCCAAGTTGTAATCGTACAGGCAAATGAATGCGCTCAGTGCAGGACTATAGTCCGGGAACGGGATAAGGTCGCGAGACTTTCATTTTTCAAGTAATCAAACATGGCGGAAAAACTGAAATTCTACTTCTAATTAGTAAGTGTCGAATTTACCCCATTTCTCATGTCGCCATTACCACATGTTGATGTTAGACCCCCTATATGTGACCTCTGAATATTACCATAGTCTATCAACACAATTTCAGAAAATCAGTCTGGCCTCTCCATTAGTCAGGATCACTACATCATAAGAAGTATATCTGAGACTACTTGGACTATGAGTAACATCCAGGGTATACTCTTGTGTTATATAAGTGAGTTGGTCCAGACCAAAAAAAAAGAAAAATTAAGAAATTCATGGCGCTTTTTCCAAGACTTTAGCCGCATAAAGCCGTTAATAAGGAAGGCATAAAGCAATTGATGGTGTTATATTACCTCATTGTTGAATGCTCGAACAGCCTCCATACTTCTAAATGTTGTTTGAAGAGTATCTATCGAGTAATTCAGCAAATAAAATCCATTTTCATTGTGCAAATCAATGTGGCGTGTTTCAAAATGGCGAGACAATATCCCATAATTTTCTGAAATTTATGAGGGCTTTCCTGATTGGATGAATTTTAAGAAACACCAAGAGATAGGCCAATGAAACATAATGTACTATTTGACTTTGGGTGATTCTTATAAAAATGTAACTTTTTCAAGATTTATTCTAAACATTGATAAATCTAAAGCAGTAGACGTTGTTTAACTGAAGATGCCTCAGTATGAACTCTGCCTTATATACAAAGCACTACAGCGGGTAAGTTCAGGTTGATTCTAAGAATGATTCTAAAGGTAACCAGTCTATTACTCTATATGTTTCCAAATTGAAATATTCTGAAAAAATTCCATCCATGATGATCCAGATCCATCAAGGGCCTACATGTATGTCTATGTGCTGAATATTCACAAAGGTAAATCCCCTATAACCCACAATTACACCTTGCTAGGAGAAAACCTGGAGTTAGTAACACACATTCTCATAGGCACGGGAATAACCTGTATAAAAAATTGAGTCGAATACACCAAGTAAAAAAGCTCTTTACTTGGTACATTTGACTAGATTTTTTATACAATTGAAAGCCCATGATGTTCCCCAGTCAATGCACATCCCATAGCTTGATATTGACATCCGAAATAAATTATGCTGGACTACATATTCAAACTATTGTATCCAAAGCCAATAAAGTGCTTGGGTTCCTCAGGCGTAACTTCCATCAATCCCCTGAAAAAATAAAGGCCCAGGGCCCAGGTATACCAGTCACTAGTCTGGCCTATCATGTCAGTTCAATATGGGATCCATACCCACAAAAATATATTGATATGTTGGAGCAGGTACAGAGAAGAGCAGCCAGCTTTGTAAGAAAATGTCACTCAAGGGGTACCACGCTGCACCATCAAAGATTTTCAAGACCTACAATGTACAATGGGAGTCACTGAAGGAGCATAGAGAGGCTGCTAGAGTTTTCCTTTTTTTACAAAGGAAAGCAGAACCTAGTAGCTATCAACGTGCCTCCATACTTTCGCCAACAGATCAATTCCAACACTAAGTTGTATCTCCTGGGGTTGTGTAATCCTTCTAAGTACATACAACCATCAACTAGAATGGATGAATACTTTAGCTATTTCCCATCCCCAGGACAATAGCTAAATGGAACACTCTACCTGGTGACATATTAGACAGTGACTGTCTATCACCAATGCCTTTGTCAATCACTGCAATTAAACTTTTGTGTTTTTATTAACATAGATCTACTTTTACCTACATCACTCAACTCATTATTTTAATGTACATGTACATTCTATAATGTCCCCACTGCACAGCATCAAGCCTACACTACTGGTAAACAGGGGCGATGTCAATGTGGTAGCCTGACAGTCATCACATTCCAACTTTAAAATGAATTGAAACTAATATAAACCATATATCTATTTTTAAATGGTTTAGATTAAATATTCTATTCAAATTCTATCACTGTTAAATTATACAAAGGCCGATCCAGAATTTATGATAAAAATGCTGTATCTTTTTCTTAAAGGACAACTGAAATAGCTTTTCTCAACTTGCAGCTACAAAAATGCGGTTTTCTCCATTGTAAGCCCAACGTAGAGTTCTTGCGATAGTCATTATAAAATAAATGTTATATAACTGCTAACGGTCATAAATAACGAAATAAAACTAACTGATCAATCAAATTGGCCCCCACGTGATAAGTAACGTCATATACAAAATATAGCTTTGGTTTATTGGTTCCTTAGTAATCATAACGTCACGGCAACCATAGGATTGTTGTGTAAACCAAAACAAAACATTTGGCATTATGACGTTATGGGCCACGTGGGGACCAGTGAGAGATCACGTGGGGGCCAATAACGTCACAACCAATTCGAATATTGCTTATTAAGCAGCTATAACGATCGTTAGAGTGAAATAGTTTTCACACTACTGATGAGAAAATATGTCCAAATACATTTATCAAAAAATTATATTGATTCCTTTAGGTTAAAAAACACCATTTCATATCTGCTTTAAGTAAAGGAAATCACCTGAAATTTTTACGCAATTTACATAATTTATATGCCTATACAGCAGGGACTTTTAAGAATGATTGATAAACAGAAAATTCTATAATCATACTTTTACTACCCCATGGTAGAGGCACTTGGTCCAGGACTAGAGCTCATATTGACGTCATAACTTATCTTGAAAATCTGAAAAACTAAACCCAACTGTGAAATCCTATTTGAGATAAAATTCAATGAAGATACTCAAAATAATGTCCTTCTGCATTCAAACACTGCATTAATACATTCTGGTATCTATCCAAGCACTATTTGTACACATTTTGAAGTCCTACTCCAGAGTTAGCAGCATTTTTGATTTCTTGTTCTTAAATATGAGACACTTGGATCCCTCTTTTGGGCTTGTCCAAAGTCTAAACACAACAAAGGGGAGCAATATCTGGGGAATATGGAGAATGTCCTAATACCTTCTGTCCTAATACATCTATATTTAACTTATACAGGGTGGGCCAAAAAAACGCCACTAGTTGTGGAACAGTGATTATGTTTGTTAAGATTTGTTACCCTGTGGAGTTGCAATGTTCTAGCCCTGGATTTGTAAACTGATGTAATGTATGCAAATGCACTCTTTCATGATACCACTGTTCCTGTCATTACAGCCATTGCTACATACTGCCATAAAAAGGACTGCAGAGACGATTTAAACTCGGACATTTCCTTCTTCAATCATCAAAATATTGGTTTAGTATAATGTGAAAAGCACCAAATGATAGATATTTATCGTGATGATGCACTGAATTACAAAATGTGCCACTTTTTCCGCATTTTAGTGTAAGTAATGATGAAGTACTCTATTATCGCCCACTGATTTCTTTCGGAAAATATTTTTTCTGTGTGTTCGGTAATAATACTTGGTTATTCCTTGATTTTTCTTGAACTTTGTGAAGCGGGGTGAATGGTTATTAGGGGGTCGGCGCTAAAAACGGCAATTACTGTTACTAAGCAACGTGTATTTTTTGTTCATTAATTTTTCTGTGTAGATCTATATATAGGGCCTAAAATTTGACTTTTATGAGGAATATCATGCTCAGTTTGCACAAAAGAGGTTCTAAATATCAATAATTTTCTGGAGGGGGAATGCGTCCGCCCCCCTCCCCCAGCCCGTGATACATTTTTAATCATCATCATATCATAGTGTTATTATTAGGGAATTAAATGATACTTTGATATAGTTGGATGCACAAGTTTGACAAATTGCATATTCTTAACTTTTTAGATAAAATAAATGATTTTCCTAAAAATTTGCGATGTTAGCGTAATTTTATACTGGCTAGTGAAAAATCTGTTTGGCCAGTGGTATCTGAAATCCAGTGGCCAAAATGGCTACCAGAAAAAAATCCTTATCTGACACACTGTTACAAAATTTCAATTAAATAGTAAGGTACAATTAAATGCAATAAAAAGTAACACAGCGTATTGTCAAGTGGAAATAAAGCTAGAGTCCATTTCACTGCTTCATTTCGTCAGTAGAACGGCAAAAATAAGAAATTGGGAGACCATTGTGCAATAATATATGGAAAAGTATATTCCTAATGTACATGAATGACATTTGTATATTTCAGATTTTTTAGTTTTTTGTGCAATAAGCCTGTGCCGTCTTGTAATTTGAAGAATTTCAGCCATGTTAATTTTATTGAAAATAACATGGCAGAGAAACATCCAAATATAAGAGGCCACACACTTTATAAGCCAAACTAGAAGCAATCCAAGATATACAAATGTCATTCATGTACATTATGAATATACTTTTCCATATATTATTGCACAATGGTCTCCCAAATTTCTTATTTTTGCCGTTCTACTGACGAAATGAAGCAGTGAAATGGACATTAGTTGAAGTAACAAATGTGCAAATCAATTTTACCCAATCGGCCATTTTGAATGGCACTTCCTATGTAAACAAATATCTATAATTACCAAACTTTAACATAGGTGCCTTATAGTCTGAATATAATTCAGACTAAATAGGATATAGTCTATGGGGATCTCTAGCCATGTTTTTTCTAGAATGGATCAAGAGGGTCGCGATTATCCCGTTCCCAGACTATGGTCCTGTGAACATCTCAATCTTTTGCCTGTGCGATTACAACATGGGAGAATTTTTTACTCATCTTACACTTCAGATACCTACTTCAATAGATTCCTTGGTAATTTAGCATTCTTTTCGTGTAGTTGAATCTACAATTGTCTGGGTTTATCGGCAGAACGAAGACATTTTCGTTTTTGATCGCAATATTTGTGTGTAACATTTAACCTATTTCAACCGTCAAATTCCTCCATATTGGTACTTCCGGGCTACATCCGGGACAGCCAAACGGGGGATTCCCCTTTTAAATCCAACCGCCATTTTGAAAAGTGATGGAATCTCTCTCGATGAAAAAGAGAAATGTTCCCGTTCTGCCGATATACCCAGACAATCGGCGGTTCCAATATATTAGAAGTTACATCTTGAGTTCTATAATGCATTGAGGTAGGTATCTTAAGTGTAAGGGGCGTAGATAATTCTCCCAAGTTGTAATCGTACAGGCAAATGAATGCGCTCAGTGCAGGACTATAGTCCGGGAACGGGATAAGGTCGCGAGACTTTCATTTTTCAAGTAATCAAACATGGCGGAAAAACTGAAATTCTACTTCTAATTAGTAAGTGTCGAATTTACCCCATTTCTCATGTCGCCATTACCACATGTTGATGTTAGACCCCCTATATGTGACCTCTGAATATTACCATAGTCTATCAACACAATTTCAGAAAATCAGTCTGGCCTCTCCATTAGTCAGGATCACTACATCATAAGAAGTATATCTGAGACTACTTGGACTATGAGTAACATCCAGGGTATACTCTTGTGTTATATAAGTGAGTTGGTCCAGACCAAAAAAAAAGAAAAATTAAGAAATTCATGGCGCTTTTTCCAAGACTTTAGCCGCATAAAGCCGTTAATAAGGAAGGCATAAAGCAATTGATGGTGTTATATTACCTCATTGTTGAATGCTCGAACAGCCTCCATACTTCTAAATGTTGTTTGAAGAGTATCTATCGAGTAATTCAGCAAATAAAATCCATTTTCATTGTGCAAATCAATGTGGCGTGTTTCAAAATGGCGAGACAATATCCCATAATTTTCTGAAATTTATGAGGGCTTTCCTGATTGGATGAATTTTAAGAAACACCAAGAGATAGGCCAATGAAACATAATGTACTATTTGACTTTGGGTGATTCTTATAAAAATGTAACTTTTTCAAGATTTATTCTAAACATTGATAAATCTAAAGCAGTAGACGTTGTTTAACTGAAGATGCCTCAGTATGAACTCTGCCTTATATACAAAGCACTACAGCGGGTAAGTTCAGGTTGATTCTAAGAATGATTCTAAAGGTAACCAGTCTATTACTCTATATGTTTCCAAATTGAAATATTCTGAAAAAATTCCATCCATGATGATCCAGATCCATCAAGGGCCTACATGTATGTCTATGTGCTGAATATTCACAAAGGTAAATCCCCTATAACCCACAATTACACCTTGCTAGGAGAAAACCTGGAGTTAGTAACACACATTCTCATAGGCACGGGAATAACCTGTATAAAAAATTGAGTCGAATACACCAAGTAAAAAAGCTCTTTACTTGGTACATTTGACTAGATTTTTTATACAATTGAAAGCCCATGATGTTCCCCAGTCAATGCACATCCCATAGCTTGATATTGACATCCGAAATAAATTATGCTGGACTACATATTCAAACTATTGTATCCAAAGCCAATAAAGTGCTTGGGTTCCTCAGGCGTAACTTCCATCAATCCCCTGAAAAAATAAAGGCCCAGGGCCCAGGTATACCAGTCACTAGTCTGGCCTATCATGTCAGTTCAATATGGGATCCATACCCACAAAAATATATTGATATGTTGGAGCAGGTACAGAGAAGAGCAGCCAGCTTTGTAAGAAAATGTCACTCAAGGGGTACCACGCTGCACCATCAAAGATTTTCAAGACCTACAATGTACAATGGGAGTCACTGAAGGAGCATAGAGAGGCTGCTAGAGTTTTCCTTTTTTTACAAAGGAAAGCAGAACCTAGTAGCTATCAACGTGCCTCCATACTTTCGCCAACAGATCAATTCCAACACTAAGTTGTATCTCCTGGGGTTGTGTAATCCTTCTAAGTACATACAACCATCAACTAGAATGGATGAATACTTTAGCTATTTCCCATCCCCAGGACAATAGCTAAATGGAACACTCTACCTGGTGACATATTAGACAGTGACTGTCTATCACCAATGCCTTTGTCAATCACTGCAATTAAACTTTTGTGTTTTTATTAACATAGATCTACTTTTACCTACATCACTCAACTCATTATTTTAATGTACATGTACATTCTATAATGTCCCCACTGCACAGCATCAAGCCTACACTACTGGTAAACAGGGGCGATGTCAATGTGGTAGCCTGACAGTCATCACATTCCAACTTTAAAATGAATTGAAACTAATATAAACCATATATCTATTTTTAAATGGTTTAGATTAAATATTCTATTCAAATTCTATCACTGTTAAATTATACAAAGGCCGATCCAGAATTTATGATAAAAATGCTGTATCTTTTTCTTAAAGGACAACTGAAATAGCTTTTCTCAACTTGCAGCTACAAAAATGCGGTTTTCTCCATTGTAAGCCCAACGTAGAGTTCTTGCGATAGTCATTATAAAATAAATGTTATATAACTGCTAACGGTCATAAATAACGAAATAAAACTAACTGATCAATCAAATTGGCCCCCACGTGATAAGTAACGTCATATACAAAATATAGCTTTGGTTTATTGGTTCCTTAGTAATCATAACGTCACGGCAACCATAGGATTGTTGTGTAAACCAAAACAAAACATTTGGCATTATGACGTTATGGGCCACGTGGGGACCAGTGAGAGATCACGTGGGGGCCAATAACGTCACAACCAATTCGAATATTGCTTATTAAGCAGCTATAACGATCGTTAGAGTGAAATAGTTTTCACACTACTGATGAGAAAATATGTCCAAATACATTTATCAAAAAATTATATTGATTCCTTTAGGTTAAAAAACACCATTTCATATCTGCTTTAAGTAAAGGAAATCACCTGAAATTTTTACGCAATTTACATAATTTATATGCCTATACAGCAGGGACTTTTAAGAATGATTGATAAACAGAAAATTCTATAATCATACTTTTACTACCCCATGGTAGAGGCACTTGGTCCAGGACTAGAGCTCATATTGACGTCATAACTTATCTTGAAAATCTGAAAAACTAAACCCAACTGTGAAATCCTATTTGAGATAAAATTCAATGAAGATACTCAAAATAATGTCCTTCTGCATTCAAACACTGCATTAATACATTCTGGTATCTATCCAAGCACTATTTGTACACATTTTGAAGTCCTACTCCAGAGTTAGCAGCATTTTTGATTTCTTGTTCTTAAATATGAGACACTTGGATCCCTCTTTTGGGCTTGTCCAAAGTCTAAACACAACAAAGGGGAGCAATATCTGGGGAATATGGAGAATGTCCTAATACCTTCTGTCCTAATACATCTATATTTAACTTATACAGGGTGGGCCAAAAAAACGCCACTAGTTGTGGAACAGTGATTATGTTTGTTAAGATTTGTTACCCTGTGGAGTTGCAATGTTCTAGCCCTGGATTTGTAAACTGATGTAATGTATGCAAATGCACTCTTTCATGATACCACTGTTCCTGTCATTACAGCCATTGCTACATACTGCCATAAAAAGGACTGCAGAGACGATTTAAACTCGGACATTTCCTTCTTCAATCATCAAAATATTGGTTTAGTATAATGTGAAAAGCACCAAATGATAGATATTTATCGTGATGATGCACTGAATTACAAAATGTGCCACTTTTTCCGCATTTTAGTGTAAGTAATGATGAAGTACTCTATTATCGCCCACTGATTTCTTTCGGAAAATATTTTTTCTGTGTGTTCGGTAATAATACTTGGTTATTCCTTGATTTTTCTTGAACTTTGTGAAGCGGGGTGAATGGTTATTAGGGGGTCGGCGCTAAAAACGGCAATTACTGTTACTAAGCAACGTGTATTTTTGTTCATTAATTTTTCTGTGTAGATCTATATATAGGGCCTAAAATTTGACTTTTATGAGGAATATCATGCTCAGTTTGCACAAAAGAGGTTCTAAATATCAATAATTTTCTGGAGGGGGAATGCGTCCGCCCCCCTCCCCCAGCCCGTGATACATTTTTAATCATCATCATATCATAGTGTTATTATTAGGGAATTAAATGATACTTTGATATAGTTGGATGCACAAGTTTGACAAATTGCATATTCTTAACTTTTTAGATAAAATAAATGATTTTCCTAAAAATTTGCGATGTTAGCGTAATTTTATACTGGCTAGTGAAAAATCTGTTTGGCCAGTGGTATCTGAAATCCAGTGGCCAAAATGGCTACCAGAAAAAAATCCTTATCTGACACACTGTTACAAAATTTCAATTAAATAGTAAGGTACAATTAAATGCAATAAAAAGTAACACAGCGTATTGTCAAGTGGAAATAAAGCTAGAGTCCATTTCACTGCTTCATTTCGTCAGTAGAACGGCAAAAATAAGAAATTGGGAGACCATTGTGCAATAATATATGGAAAAGTATATTCCTAATGTACATGAATGACATTTGTATATTTCAGATTTTTTAGTTTTTTGTGCAATAAGCCTGTGCCGTCTTGTAATTTGAAGAATTTCAGCCATGTTAATTTTATTGAAAATAACATGGCAGAGAAACATCCAAATATAAGAGGCCACACACTTTATAAGCCAAACTAGAAGCAATCCAAGATATACAAATGTCATTCATGTACATTATGAATATACTTTTCCATATATTATTGCACAATGGTCTCCCAAATTTCTTATTTTTGCCGTTCTACTGACGAAATGAAGCAGTGAAATGGACATTAGTTGAAGTAACAAATGTGCAAATCAATTTTACCCAATCGGCCATTTTGAATGGCACTTCCTATGTAAACAAATATCTATAATTACCAAACTTTAACATAGGTGCCTTATAGTCTGAATATAATTCAGACTAAATAGGATATAGTCTATGGGGATCTCTAGCCATGTTTTTTCTAGAATGGATCAAGAGGGTCGCGATTATCCCGTTCCCAGACTATGGTCCTGTGAACATCTCAATCTTTTGCCTGTGCGATTACAACATGGGAGAATTTTTTACTCATCTTACACTTCAGATACCTACTTCAATAGATTCCTTGGTAATTTAGCATTCTTTTCGTGTAGTTGAATCTACAATTGTCTGGGTTTATCGGCAGAACGAAGACATTTTCGTTTTTGATCGCAATATTTGTGTGTAACATTTAACCTATTTCAACCGTCAAATTCCTCCATATTGGTACTTCCGGGCTACATCCGGGACAGCCAAACGGGGGATTCCCCTTTTAAATCCAACCGCCATTTTGAAAAGTGATGGAATCTCTCTCGATGAAAAAGAGAAATGTTCCCGTTCTGCCGATATACCCAGACAATCGGCGGTTCCAATATATTAGAAGTTACATCTTGAGTTCTATAATGCATTGAGGTAGGTATCTTAAGTGTAAGGGGCGTAGATAATTCTCCCAAGTTGTAATCGTACAGGCAAATGAATGCGCTCAGTGCAGGACTATAGTCCGGGAACGGGATAAGGTCGCGAGACTTTCATTTTTCAAGTAATCAAACATGGCGGAAAAACTGAAATTCTACTTCTAATTAGTAAGTGTCGAATTTACCCCATTTCTCATGTCGCCATTACCACATGTTGATGTTAGACCCCCTATATGTGACCTCTGAATATTACCATAGTCTATCAACACAATTTCAGAAAATCAGTCTGGCCTCTCCATTAGTCAGGATCACTACATCATAAGAAGTATATCTGAGACTACTTGGACTATGAGTAACATCCAGGGTATACTCTTGTGTTATATAAGTGAGTTGGTCCAGACCAAAAAAAAAGAAAAATTAAGAAATTCATGGCGCTTTTTCCAAGACTTTAGCCGCATAAAGCCGTTAATAAGGAAGGCATAAAGCAATTGATGGTGTTATATTACCTCATTGTTGAATGCTCGAACAGCCTCCATACTTCTAAATGTTGTTTGAAGAGTATCTATCGAGTAATTCAGCAAATAAAATCCATTTTCATTGTGCAAATCAATGTGGCGTGTTTCAAAATGGCGAGACAATATCCCATAATTTTCTGAAATTTATGAGGGCTTTCCTGATTGGATGAATTTTAAGAAACACCAAGAGATAGGCCAATGAAACATAATGTACTATTTGACTTTGGGTGATTCTTATAAAAATGTAACTTTTTCAAGATTTATTCTAAACATTGATAAATCTAAAGCAGTAGACGTTGTTTAACTGAAGATGCCTCAGTATGAACTCTGCCTTATATACAAAGCACTACAGCGGGTAAGTTCAGGTTGATTCTAAGAATGATTCTAAAGGTAACCAGTCTATTACTCTATATGTTTCCAAATTGAAATATTCTGAAAAAATTCCATCCATGATGATCCAGATCCATCAAGGGCCTACATGTATGTCTATGTGCTGAATATTCACAAAGGTAAATCCCCTATAACCCACAATTACACCTTGCTAGGAGAAAACCTGGAGTTAGTAACACACATTCTCATAGGCACGGGAATAACCTGTATAAAAAATTGAGTCGAATACACCAAGTAAAAAAGCTCTTTACTTGGTACATTTGACTAGATTTTTTATACAATTGAAAGCCCATGATGTTCCCCAGTCAATGCACATCCCATAGCTTGATATTGACATCCGAAATAAATTATGCTGGACTACATATTCAAACTATTGTATCCAAAGCCAATAAAGTGCTTGGGTTCCTCAGGCGTAACTTCCATCAATCCCCTGAAAAAATAAAGGCCCAGGGCCCAGGTATACCAGTCACTAGTCTGGCCTATCATGTCAGTTCAATATGGGATCCATACCCACAAAAATATATTGATATGTTGGAGCAGGTACAGAGAAGAGCAGCCAGCTTTGTAAGAAAATGTCACTCAAGGGGTACCACGCTGCACCATCAAAGATTTTCAAGACCTACAATGTACAATGGGAGTCACTGAAGGAGCATAGAGAGGCTGCTAGAGTTTTCCTTTTTTTACAAAGGAAAGCAGAACCTAGTAGCTATCAACGTGCCTCCATACTTTCGCCAACAGATCAATTCCAACACTAAGTTGTATCTCCTGGGGTTGTGTAATCCTTCTAAGTACATACAACCATCAACTAGAATGGATGAATACTTTAGCTATTTCCCATCCCCAGGACAATAGCTAAATGGAACACTCTACCTGGTGACATATTAGACAGTGACTGTCTATCACCAATGCCTTTGTCAATCACTGCAATTAAACTTTTGTGTTTTTATTAACATAGATCTACTTTTACCTACATCACTCAACTCATTATTTTAATGTACATGTACATTCTATAATGTCCCCACTGCACAGCATCAAGCCTACACTACTGGTAAACAGGGGCGATGTCAATGTGGTAGCCTGACAGTCATCACATTCCAACTTTAAAATGAATTGAAACTAATATAAACCATATATCTATTTTTAAATGGTTTAGATTAAATATTCTATTCAAATTCTATCACTGTTAAATTATACAAAGGCCGATCCAGAATTTATGATAAAAATGCTGTATCTTTTTCTTAAAGGACAACTGAAATAGCTTTTCTCAACTTGCAGCTACAAAAATGCGGTTTTCTCCATTGTAAGCCCAACGTAGAGTTCTTGCGATAGTCATTATAAAATAAATGTTAGATAACTGCTAACGGTCATAAATAACGAAATAAAACTAACTGATCAATCAAATTGGCCCCCACGTGATAAGTAACGTCATATACAAAATATAGCTTTGGTTTATTGGTTCCTTAGTAATCATAACGTCACGGCAACCATAGGATTGTTGTGTAAACCAAAACAAAACATTTGGCATTATGACGTTATGGGCCACGTGGGGACCAGTGAGAGATCACGTGGGGGCCAATAACGTCACAACCAATTCGAATATTGCTTATTAAGCAGCTATAACGATCGTTAGAGTGAAATAGTTTTCACACTACTGATGAGAAAATATGTCCAAATACATTTATCAAAAAATTATATTGATTCCTTTAGGTTAAAAAACACCATTTCATATCTGCTTTAAGTAAAGGAAATCACCTGAAATTTTTACGCAATTTACATAATTTATATGCCTATACAGCAGGGACTTTTAAGAATGATTGATAAACAGAAAATTCTATAATCATACTTTTACTACCCCATGGTAGAGGCACTTGGTCCAGGACTAGAGCTCATATTGACGTCATAACTTATCTTGAAAATCTGAAAAACTAAACCCAACTGTGAAATCCTATTTGAGATAAAATTCAATGAAGATACTCAAAATAATGTCCTTCTGCATTCAAACACTGCATTAATACATTCTGGTATCTATCCAAGCACTATTTGTACACATTTTGAAGTCCTACTCCAGAGTTAGCAGCATTTTTGATTTCTTGTTCTTAAATATGAGACACTTGGATCCCTCTTTTGGGCTTGTCCAAAGTCTAAACACAACAAAGGGGAGCAATATCTGGGGAATATGGAGAATGTCCTAATACCTTCTGTCCTAATACATCTATATTTAACTTATACAGGGTGGGCCAAAAAAACGCCACTAGTTGTGGAACAGTGATTATGTTTGTTAAGATTTGTCACCCTGTGGAGTTGCAATGTTCTAGCCCTGGATTTGTAAACTGATGTAATGTATGCAAATGCACTCTTTCATGATACCACTGTTCCTGTCATTACAGCCATTGCTACATACTGCCATAAAAAGGACTGCAGAGACGATTTTGGAAAGGGGTGGAATAATACGTTCATTTGAAAACCTAGGAAAACGTGCCTTGCCGTACAAGATGTCTGCCCATAAAGAAAGACATACAGAGGGGAAGTAAGAGACATCTTTGTTTATTGTATTTGTCTTTTATCTTGCGTGGATTTTGATTTGTTAACAGTGTACTTTCAATTGTCAAATTAAGTAGCGGCAAATTAATGACAAATTCAGTGAGACCTCAAAATAATTTTCAGTGATAATCAATAGTAAAGATATTTTAGAAAAACATACAAATAATATACTTTTTATCCCATCGAACGAAGTTCGGAGGGATATAGGGAACGCCTCCGTCCGTCCGTCCGTCCGTACGTCCGTCCGTCCGTCCGGGCAATAACTCAAATACCGTTGGCCCAATTTTGTTCATATTTCGTACACATATACCCTATGAGGGTAGAAGTTCTGCTCGAAAGCCGATTTCCAAAATGGCCGCTCATTTCAAAATGGCGGCCATTTTAGTGGCGATTTTACAGTAATTTAGGTGCAATATGTAAAACTGTAATAGCAATATGTTTTAAATGTAAAAAAATTATAAAGGACATTAATAATGCTACAAATGTAGATATTAAAAAGCACATGGCAGCCATCTTGAAAAATGGCGGCCTTTACTCGTCATTTTACGATTTTTGCTGTAACTCAAAAAATAGTGGAGCGATTTTGTTCATATTTGGTGTGTGAATACTATAAGCATTGCACACTATCTAAAGACACTTTTGGTAGAAGGCGGCCATTTTTCAAAATGGCCGCCATTTTAAGGTCTCATGGAAGTTAACAGGAAATGACAAAACAGGAAGTGAAATTTTTTTTTGCATTTTTGGACATTTTTTGAACAAAGATAACAGAGTTCTGGTTTGGCCTCCAGTCAATTTAACTATTTCCACATATCATTTACATGACCAGGATCACAATGTGCATGGTCAGAATGACCCTAAACAAGATGAAATAACCTTTTTAGCCCTTTGAAAGTGTGACTGAAAAAAAGCTAAAAGTAGGAGCATAGGGAAAGTCACTGATCAGAATCTTTTGAATTTTTCAGAAAATGTGCCCAATATAATGCTCTAACTGATACAATCTTTGAAATTTTAGAAAATTGTCTTAAACAAAAATGGCGGTCATAAAAAGGAAAATAGATCGCTTTTCAAATCAGTTTTTTCATTTTTTTTCTTTTTCTATGAATGATATCAAATTTTCAAAGATTGTATCATTTAGAGCAATATATTGGGCACATTTTCTGAAAAATTCAAAAGATTCTGTTCAGTGACCTTCCCTACGCTCCTACTTTTAGCTTTTTTTCAGTCACACTTTCAAAGGGCTAAAAAGGTTATTTCATCTTGTTTAGGGTCATTCTGACCATGCACATTGTGATCCTGGTCATGTAAATGATATGTGGAAATAGTTAAATTGACTGGAGGCCAAACCAGAACTCTGTTATCTTTGTTCAAAAAATGTCCAAAAATGCAAAAAAAAATTTCACTTCCTGTTTTGTCATTTCCTGTTAACTTCCATGAGACCTTAACATATTTTACTATAACTCGAAAAGTAGTGGAGCGATTTTGTTCATATTTGGTATGTGAATACTATAAGCATGGCACACTGTCCTATGACACTTTTGGTAGAAGACGGCCATTTTGAAAACAATTTTGAAAAATGGCCGCCATTTTAATGTATTTTACTATAACTCGAAAAGTAGTGGAGTGATTTTGTTCATATTTGGTATGTGAATACTATAAGCATGGCACACCGTCCTATGACACTTTTGGTAGAAGGCGGCCATTTTGAAAACAATTTTGAAAAATGGCCGCCGTTTTAACGTATTTTACTATAACTCGAAAAGTAGTGGAGCGATTTTGTTCATATTTGATATGTGAATACTTTAAGCATGGCACATTGTCTAATAAAACTTTGGGGAGTAGTCGGCCATTTTGAAAAATGGCCACCATTTTTACGTGTGTTATTTTACAAGTACGTGTGCGATTTTTCAAAAAATTTTAGAGGTGGCTACTTAAAAGCATATTATTTCTTCTGATGACAACTTGGCTAGTGAGCAACCATTTTGAAAATGGTTGCCTTTCTGGTGTGTTGTTTTATGATATTTGCGCTTAGTTTTTATAAAATGCCAGCCATTTCTGTTCGATGGGATTCGCAACGCTTTGGCGTTGCCGTTGTTCTGGTTTCCCTTGAAATTATATTCTTTTACTAATGTGGTGAAGAACACATACACCTTCAATTTTAAATAAAATCAAAATAAAATAAAACTCATAAATTATCATAAAATCTTTTATGGATAAGAGGAGTCAATCTTAAATGAAATTCATAATTATAGTTCTTTTGTGCATATGAACACACTTGGTCATGTAATATCCTGGCCAATAATAAATAAACTATTTTCTCTTCCAGTTACTTCATAGTGAACTTTGACAGTTCTGGCAAACAACTAGAGCATATGAAGGAATATTTAGAGAGAGATATTGACGTTATTCGACCCTCTTTTTTACGCAAAGAAAAAGAGTTTCGAAGGCCGTGTTTAGATGGACCATGTTTTTGGGGAGAATTAACTGAAGAAAAATCAAAGGAAGTTAAACGTTTCATGGGGAAAACTGAAAAGTTATGATTGCTGCTAATCTGTGTAAATAAATTAAAACAAAAAATCAAACATTATGTTTGTTGTCTGTTAATAATAAGAAGCATGCACTTACCAGGGTACATGTAGTATAGAAACTTTTCATGTTCTTTGTAAAAGTATATAAGGTTAAAAATGAAGATTTTTTTATCACATTAAATGGATGGAAAATGTCACCACCTGCCATTTGTGACAGATGACCACTTGTGGTGGTGACATAATAACTGGGTTTCAGAAACAGGATTTTGTAGGGAAACGTATGCATACAGGATTACTCAGTGTCCCATAAGTAATGATAATTATGCTATAATAACATTATGTGATGAGGAAACAATATGAAACATTTATCATTTAACACAACAATATTCCATATATGGTTGCCATTGCAACCTGTATGTGCATTCTGCGAATCAATTTTGTTTTCCATACATCTTTTGAAAAATTTGTAAGTTCCACTGCTGTTCACACAACTACAATAGTATTCAATTGGAATCCTGTCTCAATAAGGTATGCACATACAGGTTGCTGTGGCAACCATAAATGGAGTATTGTCACGTAAAGTGATAAATGTAATATAGTAAAATGAAGGCTAAAACCTGATCTTAAATTTTCCCTTATCAAATAGTAATTTGGTATCTTTACTCATGGGACACCGTGTATACATCCAAATAAATATATAGATACCCCATACCCACTGGGGTTCAAGATACATTATACATTTTAAGGTTTAACTTGTGTAAAATGTGGTAAAAATTTATAATAGAAAAACTTAATTTCACTGTTTTCAATAACTTTGTTTTGGGTCAGACTTTGCTTACACCAAAATTGCTGCAGGAAAATGATTGAACCATTGCATAGGTTGGTTTATTGTCTCCGAGATTAAGCTGCTTTTAAGTTTGAAAACAAATTATGCAAAATTCTTGATATTTTATGGTAAATAAATATGCTCCAGCTCTTTACCAAGCTAGTCATTCGCATCCTTTGAATACTTGTGTTATATCGGGGACCCTGCTTACGGTCTTGCAAGTAGTGACATCTATTAATGCAGATTTATTTTTATTTTCCTTCCAATGATAGATGGCGCATAGATGTTGAGGATTTAAGGTTTTGGAAACAAAATATGCTGGGTCATACCCTGCGTGCAGAGTCTAGTAAAACTACACTCTGCCTAGTAGAGACCATATTACAGTTTAGTAGCCCAGCCCCCACGACGGGTACCGGTGACAGTTAAATCACTTTTGACCTACGCACTGACCTTCCACCAATCAGCGAACTTGAAGAAACATACGCCAAATGCGTTCTAATTAAATATGCGCATGCCATTGGTCAATTCCGGGCTCAACGATGACGTCAGAAGGAATGACCATATAAAGAACGTCGGTCAAATTTGGCCGACGAACACTGATTTGGGTGGTGAGTTCACAGGTTTATTTTAGTTTGAAAGAGTGAAGACGAAGCTCTCTTTTAAGAAGTGAAGTCAAACGAATGCAAAGGGTAGCTGGGACAAAATAATTCACTCATTTACAGTACCTGTCTACCAACTCTCAAGTAGAAATTGGGTCATCATGGGTATTAACCAGACCTCATGATACCGTGAGCTTATTCGGTGGAATCATGGATCCTCAAATAATTGTGGTATGTTGAGGTCAGGTCAGTACCAGTGTATCTTTAACTTGAAAGAAAGCTTCAATCCGTAATGTTTCAGAGATATAAATTTGTGTATCATTAAAAGATGGCGGTAGCTTTTGCCCTCTATTGAAGCATGTGTTGTGAGGCTTTGATTAGTGATTATTATTATATACCCAATATGTAACACTAATCCTGATTGGTCAATACCTAGTCACGTGTTCCGAAATCGATTTACTATTACCCTCGGAAAGTTATATTCCCTCAAATGTGACGTCAGCGGGAATATACATTTGAACTATTGCCCGCTGACGTCACGATTGCAACTTCTATTACCCTTGGAAACGTCTGCGCATCATCACTGCGCAGACGAAAAACAGAAAAATGGAGGATGAGCACAAACACAAATCAACTCCGTTCACCATGACAGACGTGCGTGAACGATACAATATAAGCAACGTGTATAAAGTTCCCTAAGCTCAATACGTCTGTGTAATTTCAAGTGTTATGATAATCTATTCCGCGTGTTAAACGCGATTGAATTTGTCAAGTGAGAGTCTCAGAGGCAAAAATTTCTGTTGAGCATCTGATGACGTCACAGCTTATAATGCTAACAATGGACCCGGGGAGGGGGCTTTCTAAGCCTTTTTGGCTTTCGCAGAGGAAACGGGACAAGAGTCAGTATAGGGTATATAATAAAACAAATAGTGACTGCCTAATTTCGAGCAATAGTGTAAATGATTTCCCCTTGGGAATATCCTCTACAATGTACTATTCCCGAAGCCGCAGGCTGAGGGAATAGTACATTGTAGAGGATATTCCCTCGGGGAAATCATTTACACTATTGCCCTCAATGGCAGTCACTATTTGTATATTGTTAGACCTATGTTTCGGCTGGATTTATAAAATTATTTTGTGTCACTTTTACCCTCAAATAAATGGTAAATAATGAATATTATTATTTTACTGTAATATTCCCCACTCTCTGATTGGCCTATGTTCTACATGTATAAAGAAAATAAAAATATTTCCCAGCAGTTTATCTAGTGTAAACTAAAGCATATTTCCTAGTTGGTATATCATCCAGTGTATTACATTCCAATATTGAATGAAAAATTGAACAAGTTTTATTTGGAGTCACTGCTTTAAAAATAAAGACCAACAAAGGTCAGCCAATCACATTTAATGGTGATCCAATGACAGAGTGAGGAATATAACAGTGAATAATAAAACAGATTTATCATTCTAGTTAGGGCTTTTCATCAAAAAGGATATTTTTATAAGTTGGGAAAAAGTTTCAAGTGACTATTATATAAACTGGATTTGTTTTTTTATTGGCGAGCATTCCAATTTAGCTAATCAAGAAAAATAAAAATAAAAAAAGTTGCGAAAATTCCCAGGAATTTGATTCGCTATCTGTATTTTGTTCAGTGCAATTCTTTTTATAAGAAAGATGGCCAATATGTTCAATATCACAAGTCAAATTAGTAGCGCCAATTCAAAGATAAATACAGTAAATAAACTATCATAACTTAAATAGATGTATGGTTTACTCAAAGAGACAAATATAATCCAAGTTTCTTTCACACATAATAAATATATGTTTATTCCTTCCTATATATTCATTACCCTGAACAAAAGGCATAACAACTACATATATACACATATACCATTAAATATGTTAGATGTCACTCATAAATGAATAATATACACTTCTAGTTTTACACTTTGTAAGAGCTCTGTCTAGTTGAGGCTCAAATAAGGACGTCACTTATTTTAGTACAGATATAGAAATCGTGAGACTTCTGTCAAAAACTGATTTTTTAAATATTAAAAAACTTCAACTGTGTTACCTATCTTTCTAAAGTATTGTTACAACTAAGGTATCTACATATTATGTTATCATATAAGACTTAATAGATATCTGACTTGAAGAATATACATGGATATAAATTAATCACACAAAATAGACCTTACACTTTTATACATGTATTGTGTATTTGCTAGTTTGGGCCCAAGTGTGAAATAAATATAAATGCTGTACTGGAGTACCTTTTGAGACATCAGTTTTGATTATTATGAAGTATATATTCATACATGACATAAAGAGTAATAATTTAAAAATAAATTATTGTTGCAACATTCAGCTGTATGATTATGAGATTTGGGACTGCTCTGTAAGGAAATAATGAAACCCAAACCCTCCCTTTCTGCCAAAAACAATGTCATTCAGAAATGGAGTAATTGAATTTAGATAATGCATCAATCTCTATTATGATGCGACAGTCCCTATTTGGTGATTATGTGTTCCACTTAGAACCATAGGATCAGATCGAGGTACAAAAGCTTCATTAGATATGACATCATCACTGACATCAATATTTTCTTCAATTGTGACATCACATTCAGGATCTGACATTATACTGTCTTCAGACTCAGGGCTTCTTGAACCAATAGAATATTTCTGACTCTCAAAACTATCATTATGATTTTCAAATGCTTCCAATGATCGTGTTGGTGACCTTGACATTTCCCTATGGGGTGACCTTGACCCCTCAGGAGATATTGACCTAGGAGACCCTTTTGTAGATTGAGGGTGGTAGACTGGGTAACCAGGGGGTAGTTCAGGGGAGTGAGTGACACTATCAGGGTAAATGCGGGAATGTGCTGTTAGGGACTCGGGGAACACTGGAGACCTCTGTTGAGAAAGAAGTGTGTGTTCCCGTCTCATCTCACCATCTCTTTTGTAGAGTTCATCTAGTTGTGCAATGTGCTCCTTTTGGGCTTTCAGACGTTCTTTCTCAAGGGCATCAAATGCACTGCTCAATGAGTCCAGCTCAGCTCCAGTACGCTCCAGTTTACTAAATGGATTAAAGAATGGGATGACTGATGGGGAAGCGGGATTATCAACCAAGTTGCAATCCATCATTCTGCTATACTCTGAGATAGCTTCAGAACTTATACCACAATTTCCAGTCTTCCAGTGTGTTTTCAAGCCACTTGCGCTGATATACTTTCTACTACATTTTGGGCACTCATATGGTCGTTCATTTGTATGGAGTCTTTTGTGCAGTTTAAGATGGACAAACTGGGTGAACTTTGCTGGACATAACTTGCATGTGAATGGTTTTTCTCCACTGTGCAGTCGCATGTGGGTTTTAAGATTACTGGTACTACTAAAGCGTTTAGAGCATACAGAGCATTGATGGGGTTTTTCTCCCGTGTGGACTAAGTTGTGTTTCTGTAGATGAGCCAGTTGTGTGAATCCTTTACCACATTGTAAACATTTGAATGGACGTTCGCCAGTGTGGGTTCGCAGGTGGACTTTCAGGTTTGAAAGCTGCCCGAATGACTTACTACACACGTTGCATTCATAGTGCATCTTGCCATCTCGTTTCTTCAGTGGAAAGGGCAGTGATCTGTACCCTCTCAGCTTATCTTGGTACTCTAAGCTGCTCTGGTAATCTTGCTGGTCGTTGCTGAACTCATATTTAGGCTTAGAAAGGTTGAGAACTTCATCTGGTTTGCTGGCTGGTTTATGGCTGGTCATGTTGTTTTGAAGTAGCTGGGCTTGCATGGCTTGGTATGCAGCCTGGTGTTGGTACAGGCCAGACCAGGGAAGGCTGGGCATGGCGGCATTCATCATCATTGGGTTCATGGAGTACAGTGGCATCATAGGATGGTACATTAAGTGATTATTAGATCTGGCATCCATCTTGGATAACAAGGGAGGGATTGTTGGTGTTGCTATGGGTGGAATATTAGTAATACCATCTGTCTTTTCTGTTTTAATTTGGGGCAACATATTTGGAAACAGGGGGTTCCTTATTGGATAAAATGGAAAGCTGTTATGGATAGGAGCAGAGGTGTAGTTATTTGGCGATACACCTTTGGATTGTCTCTCTTCGTCTATTCTTTCAATGGAGCTTGACTCACTATATTTAGGTGAAGGTTTGGGTGATATGGCTTCCATGGTTGGTGAAGCCAATGGTGAAGCACCTGCAAGATGAGGTGATACATGATGGGGTGGGGAAGCTTTAGAAGATGACCCCGATATCCTTGGTGTCTCATGAGAGTTTGGTATTGGTGATGTCATTGATTGTTGATTTGCTGGCAAGTGTGGATAGAATGGAGGGAATGGAACATGAGGGGTTATCGTTGAACCAGGGTACTGGGGATAATTCAACAAAGCATTATGTGCTGGTGGTAACACAGCTTCAGATTCCCTCATTTTCTTAACCAATAAATCTTCAATCAAACCATTGGAGGGGCGTTTATTGCTCTCTGTCCTTCTTGGCTCAGTGGAAGGACGAACAGATACAGGAATAGGTGGTTTTGTATCTTCATCATCAGATGTATGGCCTAGGATATGTTTCACATCAAATGTACTTTTGATAATTGATCGCCTTGGGTTAGGGATCTTAAGTGGGCTATGAACTGGTTCATTCACTGCTGTGTTATTGTCTTTAGTGCTGAAGTCCAACACTGTATCATTTGTCTCATTTGAATCATGTTTCACATTGTCTTGATTCACTTTGGTGACTTTGTCATCATTGTGTTTTTGTACATCTGTGTTGTGTTTTCTATCATATTGGTTGTGCCGAGAATTTGGTTGTTCTTGAGGGGTTGTTTGTTCTTTGCAAACTGGAAACACAATTTTAATGTTTCATTCATGATGTTTTACTCTTGAACTCGCTTTTTCATTTCAAACATATGAAGCCAAAAGAAAGATGAGCACACATTTCAAAGTATATTTATTTAGTATCTATATTCTACATTTCATGAAATGAAGTATCTAATTTTTTATTATGGTTTCACTCCCTATAAAGAAATCTGAAAATGTTGATTTGCTTCCGAAACTTGAATTTAACTTGAAACTAAAATTCATACCATCTTTACACATATCAGGCACTAACCTGGAATATTAAGCTGAACTGGTGACAAAGATTTGCCAAGTCTTGCTGAAAACTCGTCACAATACCAGACCAACAGCTCAGCCCCTGGTGCTACAGCTTTGATAGTATAAAAGTAGATGTCAAAGTTCACTTGGCATGCAATCAGGTTCTGTTCTCCCTGTGAGTGGGCGGGGTTGACGTAACGCATCCAGTTACTCTTGCTGCAGCTAGCGCCATCTATGTAGAAATAAAGCTCATCATTGTTGTAGACCTGGAATGCAAAACAAAGAATTGATGACTTTTGAGCAAATAAAAACATTATTCATTTACGTATTATTAGAGTGTTGCCTAAATTTTTAATAACAATTCTGAAATTCCATGAAGATTTTAATAGCAAGTGTTTTTGAGGGTCACATAAAATGGCACATTGTCATCGAAGTACATGTATTAGAAAATTTATTTCCCATGATTCTGAATAATGATTATACATAAAAAAATTTAAAAATTATTCTCAGATAAAAGGTTGTAATACTTACTCTCCAGAAGTATTGTCTGCTTGTATGGGTTGGCACATTGTCTTTAGTGAATATTTCTCCCACCAGAGGGCCAAAGCGTGTACCACGTGGGATATGTTCGCTACTGTATACACCCATAACCTGGAAATATTAAAATATTTATATAATTACTATATGGTATAATACTGTATGACCTTATATGGTATATTTAAATACAGGGTAATATACTGACAAATGGGTTACTAAGTCATGTTGATGAATCAGGACTTGATAGATTAAAAATGAGTCCATAGAAATTGTTTCTCCAAAAATTCAATTTCATAAAATGACCAAATAAAAGACAATCAAAATTTTCTACGTGATTATTCCTAATAAATGGGCTGATAATATACATTAACCTTACAATCTAAAACTAAATGAGATAAACCTGTCAAGCTAGAGACTCGACTATTATCTTCAGCAAAAACATAACAATAGAAAACAATAGAAACTTGAGTTTAATAATCAATAATCAGTTACTGGTGAGATTTCTTGAAATGAATCTTGTCAGTTTTGGAGATAATGAAAGCAGAGAAAGGTTACAGTAGAAAATATCTTGAGATACACTTAATTTTGTCAAAATGTATATTGAGATCTTCAAAATACAATAGAAATGATAACATGTGATAAACAATTGTTACATGTCCATGGGTTAGATGGGTTAGAACCTCTTATGTATCAAGAGTTTGTGAAAATATTTTTTAGTCCTATGATAATGTAAAAAGTAACTTATTTTCATTCACACAATTTAGTAAGAAATTTTATGATTATAATGAATAAAATAAACTGATTTTCCATAAAAAATAATAACTAGCTGTTTATGTTCTTAAATGTAGCTTTCTTAAAGACTATTTATACGTATTTATTTATTTTTGGGTATTTATAGAAATAAGTTAGAAGGAAATACATCAATCAAAATTACAACTGTCTGAATCCTATATCAACACCCCTTCACCCAATCTATATTGGAAGACAGGGTGGGGATTGGATTATTAATTCTGAGTTTCTGTCCCACACCTGCCATTTTTATATTTTTAATCCATGTATGTTATGTGTTACGTTATGTACATACTGAAACTGTCAACACCCACATTTCATTACTCATAATTGTATATCCATATTGTAATTATAATAATCATCTAATTTCCAACTCAGGCTCTTATAGGTTACCTTAGCTATTATCTTAAGCACATGTTAATACAAGCTGAAATCTTAGAAATCGAACATTTAAGTTAATTTCGTATAATTTTCGCTGTTCAGTTATCTAAGATTGTAAACAGTAAAAGTCTGTCTTTGAGTAGGTACACATTGAGCCCTTTCATTGATAGAAAATGTTGATTGTAAAAATTGCACATTGTTCTTAAAAATACTTTTTACATTTTTAATGCTTTGATTATTTCTTTGGTGATAGATGTACATACAGCGCATGCATATGTTCTTAAAGTAGAAAAATAAAAATTTATAAATTTCAATGTGTAAATTGACAATTTGACTCGTAATTAAACCATATAAACACTTGTATCTTTGAGTGTTAACATAATTTCTTAAAAAAGATGAAAGCAAATCGCAAAATTTATTCCACTTGAGGCAAAAGTAAAAGTGATTTCTCAAACTGAACATTTCTAATTAGTAAAGCATTTTATCAAATCACACTCATTTTAACTGGCAAAAGTCAAGATGGCTGATTAAAAAGATATGTTTTCGCTTTCATATTCACCCTAATGTCACCTTTAATAGATAAAATAATCCACTTAATGAGCTACCTCCACTCTATTATTTACACATTTTAGCACCTTATACTCTAACACATAGAAACAAATGAAAAAAAGATAAAATTCTGAACTCAATGCATATTTGGTTTACTGTTAACTGTTCATAAGGTAACAATTTCATTATACAAAAATTACTGATTTCTTTTTAATTGATAAAAGAAAAAATATAAACCTCATGTGAAATTTGTGAAAATATATAAGAACTTTTTATTTTATTTTTTTATCATAAGCCCCCACTCTGACTTGTTTTTTAACTATAATTTACGGTTGAACAAAACATTTACCAAAAGGCTTAGAAATTAGTAGAACAAAATTGTTATATTAAATTGAATGAAGAGATCAACAATTTCATGATGTTTCTATTCTTGTGACCAATATATGCAAATGGGTAATTATATGCAATTGGGTAATTTTAATTAACAAACTAGACCAGATTTTAAAATATAAAATCTGTAATAATCTTTCCAATCTGATCCAAAAGCGCTACACTTTATTGCATATTTTTAACATTTAATATATTCTTAATTTATTCAACAATAACATTATGCTAACTGAATCTAAGAAGACAATACAGTATTTAGCATTCTTTCTAAACTAACTATGCAAATCAGTTTTTGGTTTTTGACGAGTGACATATTTTGTATCGTTCTTCGATAAACAATCTCTTAACATGGCAACATTCACTTGTATTTAGCAGTATCTACTGGTAAAAGCACGTGAGAGAGTTGTTCAATTAAACTGATACAAAATAATTGTCATGAGTGTCAGTTAGAGTACCGTCGTTAATTTCAGTTGAACATGACGTTACAAAGCCAAATATGAGTGAGACTGAAAGGGTCTCCTTAGTATATTTTGAAATGTAATTATAATCTACAACACTCCCCCCTCCCCCGCAGCTCCGAGACACCCTCCCCTTGATAAAGCTATGAGCTAGAAAAAAGAGAACTGGTATAGAGATATTAAAAGTGTTAGTGAAATTTTAAAGGACATTATCTCACAGCTGGCTTTCAAGTGATTTGAGGGGACTGTTACAAGCAACTGATAAATCACAATGAAAAAAATGTACTGATAATATTTCTACATTTATAATTAATATAAAAATAAGTTTTACATTAAGCCCCTGTGTCCCCCCCCCATTCAGATATTACCTCTGAATGAGATGAACATGCTGGGGGAGGGGGCGGGGGGTCAAGAGACTCGATGCAAGACTATAGAAACATTATATTTAAGCCCCTTCCACAGACTTATTATTTCATCAACATTTATTAAATAACAAAAACATCAAGCTTGCTGTGCATCAGGTTTATATGCCTAGATAAGGGTGGGGGGGGGGTGTCCAGGGTCTTGAAGCAAGACAAATGTCTCCCTATCCCTTCTTATTCTCTTTTGAACAGTGGTTAATATACAATTGGAAAAGAGGGGGGGGGGAGGAGTCTTGATGAGACTTAATCCAGGGATGCAGAAAATGTTTATTCATATTGCATACAAAATCAGGAAGATCAAGTGCATTCTGTCCTAAATAAGAATAAAAATCGAATCAAATATAGACAGTTATCACAATTTATAGACATTGAATCTCTGAAACCATTGTAATTTATCATCTGGTATCTATATTTTAAAAATTGAAATGTTCTTGAGAAAAAGTTATTTGACACGTTGACGTAAGCCGATTGTACTGTGCCAGTAGATGAGTGGTACGAAACCAGTGTCATTGTTTAAGATAAAACTTGTCATTTTTGATGGCAAAAAATAGATAATTCTGTTGCACAGCCATTTATAACTGTCACTTTTAACAGCTACGTTACCATATTGTTGAAGTTACCCTTTCTAGATAAAACAAACATGTTAAATTTTCCTCTATCATGTCTCCCCTGTCCTGTCTGAGTGATGATGACTTTGGAATATTTTAAATCACTTTAAAAAATTATTTCATGTAGCATATGACTCTACCGAGAGGAATAATTATGCTTTCTTGTAATTAAGCAAACAATATATGACATCTTAATCAGTGAAATAATATAGATGTGGACTATCCTTTTATAATCATTTAAAATAATAGCCATTATCATATCTACTCAAGTGCTTAAGGTGGGCAGTGTGGAACAAATTTTGCTCAAACAACACAAATGTTTAAAAGTATGATGTTTTTCTGTGTAAATACTATCATTAGGGATTATTGGAGTGATTTAGCTGGGTTGCCAAAAAAATAACTTTGGGGAAAATTTTTGTATCTATTACCATGGTAACATACCAGGTATATGGTGGTATCCAAACGCTAAGTCAATAGTCAACGCCATGTTAAGCGATTGCACCCCTCCCTAATCAGCCTATATCATTTTTCCCCAAACTAAACTTTTGGACAACCCAGTTAAATCACTTCAGAAAACCCTTATTATCATAAATCGACCATAAAACATCGTACTTTTAACAATTTCTAGGTTCACCATTGGATGTATAGGGGTGACAAATGGACTAAGATGTGTCCACACACTTATTTTGTTATCATGCTGACTGTGAACCAAATCAGCATATTTTAGCAGAATAATAACTCTTCTCTGCCTACCTTAAGCATATCATGTCTCAGAAGCAAATGTATGACTGGTTTTCACCTGAAGTGTCTGTCAGAATGACATACTTTTCAGTTTTTCATAACCACATACTAATATAAAGCTATCATCTAACTACTATTTAGATATATAGTGATACACCTGGCAAAGTGAAAGCCTCTGTAAAGTGAACAACTAAACATTTGAATATTCTTTTAACAGAACCACATATGATTTTTTAGACTGAAAATTTCTTTGAATACTTAACATTAAAATATGCAATATTTCTCTTTGGTGTTTTAAGTGAGTTATGGACCAGTAAATACTACTACAAAACTGAATACTTCAGCCAAAACTGAGACTGCTCTCTTTAAAAATATTTTATAAAGGAAGTTCATTTTTGTTTAATTTGCAACAGTCAAGTGATATTTAAGAGATAAAACAATACATATAATTCTTGCACAATAATACATATAAGCAATTTGGGAGAAATGTAGTACAGATAGGAAATACACAAGGGAGAGAGAGTGAGAGGGAACATAACTTGGGACTGTCTTATCAAATCCTGACCTGTTCACTTTCACTTAACAATAAACAGGAGCTCCCAAATTCATGTTCTTTTTTAAAAAACACTTTTATCGTGAGTCGATTCCTTTGATCTCTGCAACTTTACAACATACCTGAAAGTGGCCTGACAATATTTTCAGACACGAGAATATGTTTCTCATGTTCTTAAGCATGTGAAATGCGATTTGGGATAATGAGTAAATTGAAATAGCATGTAAAAGTGGTTTAACATTGCGGAGTATTCACAATAGAATGTTCAGAAAGAGTCATTAGAGATCACCTATTGTTATGTTGGTATTCGGAGACGCAATTTTTTAAATAACAGCAAAGAATCACGATGAAACGTTTTATTCTTTATGGTAATAATCACATTGCGGCCAGACAGAGTTAAAAGATTGTGGTATATCACACAAAAAAAGATTCAAGACGACAGTTTTAAATTGTAATTAAAGTTTATAAGCTTAGTGTTTAATAGGTTGAGAGTATTAGGCAACACTTGATCACATTTTATTCTAAAGAGGCACTACCATGCAATTTAGAGGTACTACCTTATATTCTAGTGGCACTGTCTTATATTACAGAAATACTTTTAAAGGGGCAATAAGGACTGTAGAGAAAATAGGAAAGTTTTTTCCTTTTTTCTGACCTATCAAGGCAACATTTGGTTTAACATCTTCTTTGACATACCTATTTCAGCATTAAGAAGTGTAAATTCAGTTCAAAGCTTCAAAAAGGGGACTTCCACTTTTATATTTTTAAGATCCACCATGTTTCAAGAGGAATATCAGCTTAAATAATGTTTATCTAGGGGGTTTCTTTGTAGATAATAAAAAAAGATGTTAGTCTTGATGAAATATCCAAACTTAAATATATTTTGACACTGGTCCATGATCGTTGAATAACCCCTCTGCACTAATTATTGCACCTTTAAGTGAAATATGATTACAATACAGATGTATTGTACTTGTAAATTAACTCATATTTCTGAATGAATCTAAACAACCTATAACTTGCACCATCCATAGATCTTATTTATAAAAATCCTACTTTTGAAAAAATTGCTCATCTAGTAACCAATACGACAAGCGCTGGATGCTAAATGTGTGTGCTTTTTTAATTTATAAAAGTCAACTTATTTACTATGCGATCAATTTTGTAACATACACAGAAAATAAAGTTTTTTCAAGTCTATTGAAGGAGAAAAGTCAAAGATTGTTCCTTCTTCGACTTCTTCAAATGTGAAGTCGGAGGAACTGAAACCTTGTGAATAAAGATGATCGTTCAGCATTTTTGAATTTTAGTATATTTTCAACTACAAGTGTCATATCAAAAACAATTTTAAAGGTATCTACTTACGTTTGGTAATGTTTTTGATGGCTTGAGAAGAAGATTCCGTGGCAATGATGCCTCTGCCCGATCACTTCTACCATCTTGGCACGGTCTGTCGGGTACAATGTATGTGCACACTTTGTCAAAATCTTTCTCGCATATTTTTTTTTCATCCCAATCTTCTAAGGCATCCCCTGGAATTAAAAATGTTTTGTTTAGAATAATACATTTTATTTCATTTTACTGTTTTTACTCACAAATTAAAAGTCACTTTACAACATTTTTTAACTAATCTGATTCCTTTACATTGTTTGATAATTATTTATTAATCAAAATGGAAACATATTTTGAGGAAAAATTCATTATAATTTGGAAATTTCCATTTCAACTCTGAATTCTGAATTTCTTTTTTATTTTAACATTCAAAAGGATGGGTGTAAAATACATGATGAAGGGTCGGGTCGGGCTGAATGCTTGTTATTTGTGTATATAAAGCACTGAACACCAAAGATTATAATGTCATATCTCAACTACACACCACAGAATGACAGTATCAAAATCTCTGTTATTTTAACTTATCAGAAAATACACACAAGTTGTGATTTCTCAGGACATTAACAACTTTCAATTTCTAGTGTCAAATCAACAATCTCCTTCTGATCTTCTATTCATACATTCTTTGCATTCTGAAATGCTTTAAAAAATCTGGCCTTTTACTGGGAATTGCCAAAGATGCATTCTAAATACATGGCATAAATGGAAAACAGAAGCTGTGGAAATACCAATAAATTGGAATCTTTATGAAAAATAGTATGTCATGTTTGCCTCAAAATATCAATAAGTAAATTAGAATTTTTCTGAAAAATATTAGTTGTATGTAGTATGTTGCACTTGCTTCAAAGTATTTATCCATGTCGTGTGACCCCAAATGGAAAGGCTGACGATAGGGGAACTTTATGAAACGAATAGTAGACTATAGGGATCTAGCAATCTCTTATTTCCAAAGATATTGTCATTATTAAAACACATAAAAATGAAATTTCTATTTCTCATCATAAATTCACAAATCCTTTCCCCTGTATTTTTAGGCTGAAAACATACCATAATTTTAAGATTGAAATTATTTCAATAAGTTTAAAAAGTTAATTGATTTCTTAAGGGGAGGCATCAAAAGATCAATGTCTGATAGAAAACTAAATAAATCTAGTTTAGGGGGGAGGGGGTCAAAGCTATTTCAGTTTGCTATCCGACAAATTTCAACATTTAAATTTTTCGCAATTTCGACTCGAAATGCCTTGGAATGGTTTAAAAATAAAGACTTTACCAGCTGCCTTCTTCACCAAGATGCATACAACATGGAATATTATGCCTATTGTTGTTGGCACATGTTTTAAGAATCATGAATAAGTTATAGTACTGGCCCCATGAAAGTCCAAATTGAGTCGCTAAAACATGTGAAAAGTATGCGATCAACTTTCATTGTATTTAGTTTTGAGGGGGAGGGGGGGGGGTCCAACTCAAAACTAGATTTATTTAGTTTCCTATCAGACATTGAACTTTTGATGCCTCCCCTAAGTTCTGAGATGAATAATGATACTGTGATTTAAATATGGTGATTTAAATCGCTAAAATGGATATAATACAATACAGTGGTTCATAGATGAAAGTCCGAAAGTGTGAAAATGTTTATGACTAAACACAGCAATAAAATTTTGACAGGATTTGATACTAAATATTATGGTTTCTAGCTTTGATAATAAATGACCATACAAAGGAAATTTATCTCAAAAGAGTTGACGCTTGGTGTATAGAAAATTACTGATTATTTTTATATTCACAATGTGTTTCGCTTATTAAATAAACAAATAAAGAGCTTAGAATTTCAGTTACATTTTAATTGATAAAACTAAAATTTGGAATAGGCAATAAACATACCACTACTTTAACAACTCACAATCAAAGTAAGAGTTTTAGTGTTTGGAGAGATATGAACAATTGATTTGGTCAAAATATGATAAATAAAAGTAATAAAATAAAGGTGTATAGCTCTGGAACTCAAACGAAGCTAGCACGGTTTCATAAAGTTAGATAAGATCTGAGTAGTAATTATAAAAGTAAGTAGCTATAAACTTTTATAGCGCCAAGGTGTGTAAGTGGTAAATATACAAAACTGGAGAATTTTATAACGATAGGTTCAACTTTCCAGTAGCACGATATCTAGATGAAAACAATACCGCAACTTTAACCTTTAGAACCATTCAGAGCCAGAAATCTTTTCTTATGCAATCCAAGTAATAAAAGTTTCCACACTTAACTTTCAACTGCAGCGTAAATATTACAACGTTTGAGCAATGGAAATCTGAAGTAGAGATGTATGTCTTTATTTGAATTATATATTTCGGGCTCTTATCAATTTTCAATTTTATCAGCCATATAGGAAATATAATCTTTAATTACTCAATTCCTGAAATATTCAATATGCATCTGTGATTTATAAACAATTTAATTGCTTCTCTCACCAGATACCATAATAAAATGAAGGATCTCTAGAAATCAAAAAAAGGTCGAAAAAATAATTTAAAAATTGTGAAAAAATTATTTTAAACTACAAAAATTTAGTAGTAAACCTCTCATCTAATCGGAATAACCTATTTGAAATTAATAACCCATTTGAAGTAATAATGATTCATGTCTTAATGGATTATACATGGAGTGTGTTTGTCACTTCATTTTTCACCTTTTTTCATGTTAATTTATAATGATATCCGGACTTCGTTGATGAAATCTGAATCCGACTGTTATAAATCACAGAAAGATCGAGCAAAAGATAATCCCCTTGTCAAAAAATCCACAAACGTTTTATTCAATTTTTTACAATTCCAATTGAAATTTTGATCAAAATTTTCTAAAAAACACATCTATTTAGTCTGAGGTTTAATCCGTTTTTCAACCGCAATGGTGACATTAAAAGATGATTTGCCAGTACACTTGCGAGATTTTGATTGTTCCAAGGGGATGAAAGAAACGCTAAAACATACTTTTTGTTTTAGAGCCGACAAAAATGCTGGCTGGGGTTGTATCGCATTACATAACGAAAGTTTGTCTAATTAAGCCACTGCATACTAATAATCTCACAAAACAATGTAACCAGTCATCCAAGTAGATTTAGATTATGAACGGCTAGAATTCGCATTGTTTAGGACGCCATTGTAAATAATACAAACCCATTCACTGCTATGACTTCACCTGCCCTTAATTCTATTCTATTTACAAAACAATGCAAGTTTTTTCAATCTTGAAAACTTTTTTGATCATCCAAAAATATCTTTAATCTATTAATGTTTCATTAATTACTAATTCAATTTCAATTAACATGAAAAACCGCCAAGTTTATATTTCAAAAGTGTAAAAAGATGTACATATTTTATTTTAAGTCTTTAATTATCCTGTCTGTACAAACCTTTGTTTGATAAATTAAAAATAAAAATAAAAAAAGGTTACATAAAGTCAGCAAAAAATCACCTAACTTCAAAAAATATCTTAAATACAAAATATTTTACATACCCATGCTGATTTTAATGTGTTGGTGTCTTAGTTTAATAATCTAATAGTTGATTAGAATATAAAATGATTGAGGTATACTTTTGCTCCAGTCACAATCTCTATCAGTAAGTAGTCTAATAAAACCCTGCACTCTCATTGGTGAAACACTCTCAAGGGACCTGTCAATTTGTTTATCTAGTATTGTTCGAGATGTTTATTCTAAAATTGATATGTCAACTATTGGGTCCAAAAATAATTTTGATTGAAAAATGAGACAGAATTTGTCTTTTGAGGTGTCTTTTGATTCATCCCTGATGCTTTATTACAAGTTTATTGGGATTTACATTTAACTTGTTCAATTTTAAACTCATTCACAAATGGCCATGTGGAGACATATTTGAATAAAGAATATCTGCCTTTTTGCTTACAAATCAAAAAGAATGAGTAAAATGCACTTTCTACTCTTTTTTAATATCAAAACACATTGTATTTTTAAATTCATTCAATAAATCTTTTTACCAAAACATATTTCCATAACTCTGATTTTTTAAATTAAACCCGGATTAACTAAAATAATTAAATGATGGATGAACACTCATCAATATAATTTTATACCCATGGCAATAATCTCCAATGTTTTTTTCTGAGTTGGAATTAAAGAAAAAATTCAAGTGATTAATAAAAAGGGTATCTGATTATACAACTTGGTCAGCTGGTAGATTAACACAAAATGACAGTTCCCTAGATTTACTATCAGATTAATCCTCCAGTGAAATTCCTGAATTTTAAAGATGCTATTATCTTTTCTGTAATTGTTTGAAACTTATACTTAAAATCACAGACTAAATCACACATTGCATACCATTTCTTTCTAATATTAAACCAAACCATTTATTTCCAAAGATTTTTATACAATTTAGTCAATCAAAAGTCACCCAATATAAACTATTCCTTGCCATTTCTACTCTATTACATAAAATTTTGAATTTTAGTATGTGGTGTTTATAATATTTTATTCCTAGGTCATTTTCACTAGGAGATGTCACTCCTAGACCCAGTGAGAAGGTGACATTATCAGAATTAGCAATGGACCATCAACAATCAAGAGTGGAGAGTCAGAGAGTTTTGGGGACATCACTCTCATTAGTGTGACTAATTCGCAAATGATTTAACCCTCAACATACCAACTAACAAAATAAACATGGAATAATTTAGCAAGGGAGGGGGGGATACAAGAGCTTGATGTGACTATCAATCATTTCAAAATCCATCATTCCTGAGTATGTTTTTAAATAATTGAAATCTGATACGTAGCAGCTAAGTCAAATTAAAAGTTGATTTTATTGGTACATTCAGTGTTCATTTAGTTTTCCAAATGTCCCCTCTTTACCAACAGATCAGGCAAATCTCATGTAACGCTAGTGGGTAAAGAAAACAGGTGGGACCAGAGTCTTGAAACGAGTCTAGTTATGATAGTATATACTGAAATGCTGATAATGTAAAAATATATAAAAACAAAGATGTCATCAATATCAATGGTTAAGTTCAGTAGTCTAATTTTTGGCACAATTGGTTCAAATATTATTTTTTATCAATTTCATTAATGTAACCTCCCACCTCCTTCCAATATGCTTTAATAGGGATTTATTGACAATCTAATGGACTAGGCTCTGACACTTGGGATACCCTCCTAACACTGTGTGACAATAATGTCTGAGGAGTGGAGAGTTGTGTTGTTGGGCGGGGGGGGGGGTCACAAAGGCCTGTAGCATGACTATAAACTTGTAAGAGGGTAGGGTTAAATGTAAATGAGCCAAACCCAGGTGCCAGCATCTACTCTCTACCTTATAACTACCATTACATTCAATGCTGACACATCTCAGAATATAAGAGATGGACTTACCCATGATGCATCACATTATCATATACCATTATGGATCCTATAACCTCAAAAAGGTTTAGTTCCAGTGAAGGGTTTTATACCTTGTGTATTGTGGGATGTTTTAGCATTTCTCATTTAAATGGGATGACAATGTAATTATAAAAATTAAGAATGTGAATGGATAGTTTGGCGATTTTATTGCAGTTTCTAAATAGGATAGGATGTGAATCATGTAAAGGAACCAGGATGTTCCAAATACATACCATAATATTATGTAATATGTTTTGCTAAAATTCACCCACTCACTTTTTTATTATAATTTTCAGATTTTTTCTTTCCTTCAAAATTATTTAAAGTACAATATTTAATTTACATCCAACTTTGGCCAATCTATACATTGTAAGACTCTCAAATTCTATTGTGAAATTAGATTTTGTTGGAGACCCATAGCAGATGCTTGAAAACTGTATAATTACCATCCTTATACATTTTAAGTTACATGAAAAATAATACAGGGAATACAAATTAATAAAAAACTATTCAAATTCCTTCAGCACGATCATTTGTAAATCTATTTTTCATTGCATTTCATGATTTGAAAACATGTAATTAAAGTCTGGTTTTTGTACTGTTATTTGATATTCGGTATGAATTATAATTGTCTGTTTTCCATTTTAATAATAGAATATTTTATGTTCAAATTTGTTCCATAAAATTAGACATACAAACCCAGAACCAATTAAAAAGGTACGCCAATTTGAAAGTTTTTGAATGTATGAATGCATATACAGTTATATTCCCCCTACCCAGTGAATATAAAGTGTTGTTAATTTCACCTTTTTTGTTGAACAAAACATTGAAAAATATACATTAAAATAAATTTGTGGTTTTCTTATTTCTAATATGCATCCACACATATTACATAGATTTGGTTTTGCTTAAACTGTCACCTTTTCCCTCTTTCTTACTCAAAATTTTATTTATGGGAAATGTTTTTTTAAATACCTGATACTTTCCAAATTATATGAGACAATGGAGGGCAGTGGTTCAATTAGTGTAGAAAATAGATTCCCTAAATGCTTTAATATAAGCATAAATTGATCTTCTATCTCTCTTAAATAGTTTATCAGTAATTTTCCGCCAGAGTAACTATGTCTTTTGACAATTTAAATGTGCGAATGTGCCAATGGAAAGGTAGCCTCGTATGATGAGATACAACGTCCCAAATGATTTGAAAATTATTCATACAAATATTCATTTGAGACTGTATTTTCACTTGTGGTAATGGAGGGATCCTGAAGTGTTAAATTAGTTGGCATTATAAAATAAAGATGGAGCCTACAGTTCACAATTGACCATATTAGGCAATTTTAGGCAAAACTTACATTTGTAAAATTCAATCACAAAATCATTATTTTCTTCTTAAAGACTTCCAGTTTTATTATTATTATGTTTATTTTCCCTCCAAGATAATTGTTTATGTTCATACATATTCATTTAAGCCATTATTAAATCTTTCATACTTTTTCTCTATTTCTTGATTATTTCTTGCTTTTCTACCTTATTTCACATTTTCATGTACCATATCATTATTAACCAAAGTGCATAATCTTCAGTTCACCTGGACAGTCTACATAGGGTTATAGAAATAGGCCCAGGGCGGGGTTTCTATTACAGTCGCACACTTATGAACGCTTCAATAAAAGTGAACGTTAATTGACTATGACTTTTGCCGCCCCTAAATTAGAAAATTGTCAAACTTCCGTAAACTTTCACCAAACGATTTATTATCAGAATCTTTATTCTTGGACATCTTATTTAATTCAAGTTGTTCTAATTTCATTAAATGTTTTATTTTATCACTTTTATTAACCATACTAATAACTAATACGTGAACAACTTCTTAGTTTTACTTTAAATACAGAATTTTGTATAAATAATATGGACTAAAAGTAGCTTTATTTCAGGTGGAGAAAGAGATTTTTATTTATATTTTATATCTTGTGGTTTAATCCATATATTACATAACACCATAAGAAAAAATTTTGAGAATGGAAAATGATGACAAACTTGTATACATTATGTACTTGGTCTATTACATGTACTTTCAGTAACAAGAAGTCTATTATTCTCATTCACTAAACTTTCTTCATTATCAAAACAATTGAGATAAAAAATTCGCAAATAAAAAATTGGTATCAAAGAGAAAATGATATTAATCCAAAAGTATATTAATAGTCCAGAAAAAAGTAACTACTGAGCAGACACAAGTAAAAAACAAGAAAAACACCTTATTTAAAATTTCCTGAGAGTAAGCGTGGCCAGACATGGAAAGTGACATTTAGGCTCTGGAGGAAATCAGTGTCTTGGCACCTGCATCGGTGTTTGGTGCCAGAGTCTAGCATCAAGCCAAATCTACGACCTCTCTATGTTACATGAGAAGCCCCACCTATGAGGGAAATCTCACTGTGTCACAAATTTACATAACAATTGGCGCAAACACAGAAAGAATAAGCGCAAAATAAAAGTAATATAGACAATTCTGCACTCAAATGAATACAAAATAAAAATAAATATTATGCATTTTGATAAGATTTTAAAGAGAAGGTTAAAAATTTCTAAATAAATTGTGAGATATTTTGAATTGGTGGCTTAGGCTCATTATAAACTTCCCTTCCCCGCCTTTTCTTTATAATAAACTTTTTTCATTCGATGAAAAACTTTTAGACGCACAATAATGAGTTAATTAATTATAGTTGGTCTGCAATTCTAAGCTTTACTGGTAGCCTTTCTTTTTCATATCTGCAATAGAATCTTTGAAGATTGCTTTTCGATGTTCGATTGAGATTAAAAGTGAAAGAAATTAAATGCTGTTTTATTGTTCAAAGATTAATCACACAAAAACAGTTATAATATTACACCAGAAAAGTGATTTATTTAACTTTTTTTAATTGAGCTTTATTCTTCATTTCTCTTATAAATAATCATAATATATCAAACTCATGTTTAAATTTGAAAAAAACAAATATTTTGAATAAAGCGGAAATATAAGCATAACAATGAAGATTAAATAAATCACAATTTCTGGTGCTCCAATTTGAAACTACGTACATTGTGCATTTCATCAATCACTCTCCATTCATTGACTTCAATGTTAGTTGCATTTTCAAATTAATTTGTCCTTTAAAGTTATCATTTTCTACTTAACCACCCTTGAGTTAATCAAGCGCATTAACAAAACACACTGTATGTTTTTGCAAAAACTTAAAAAATGTTTGAACACTGAATTGTAATCAAAGCGGAAGAAATTCACATTCTTACAAAAGGCTTCAATATGGCCATTTAAAGATAGATCACTAAAATTGTTTTTCATATATTTAAGGAAAAATGTATGAATATTTGTGATAGAAGCAATGGTAGCCATACATTGAGTTTCTCGTCCTTTATAGTGCTGGGCTTTTTGGTGCCACATTTAGAATGATTGAGGGTATTTATCATATGCATTGTGCAGCAAAGAGGTTGGAATGGTTTATTATCATTTTGTGTGATTGTGTTTACCACATTGTTGCTTAATATGGTTCTTGATATACATAAATAGAAAAAACTGGAAAACGCTTTGGTGTCTGACAATGATGTAACCATGGAGATGTTTTCTAAATGAATCCCAACTTAACATTTCTATCCTTCAATGGTCAATAACTCATTTTGGAAATACAATACAAAAATTGTAATCTAAAAATACATGCATGTCTAGGCCTAGAAGCAATGAGGAAAATGCTTTAAAAATGTTCTCATGATCAAGTTAATGGCTTTTATAGTGCTCATCATGATAAATTATAAAACTGATGCTGGTATCCAATATCAAATAGATGACTGGTTCTTGTGGTTAGATGTTTTAAGATAATTCTACTCAACACTTCTATATGCTAATTCCCATTTTTGTATCTTGCACAATATTAAATCAGTGTTTTAGAATTTATAATAGAAATAGATTAGTTTTTCTCCCTTTCTCCCCTAACATTGTTATTTACTTCTTAAATGCTATTTAAAGCTCCCTGAACTAACAATAGCCACATTTTTTGAGTAACCACAAAAAATTAAAGTATGATATTTTTGCACATATTTGTGGCTTGGAAATTACAACAAATAAATGAACCACAAAATTTAAAAAGCAACAAACAAATCAAATAGCCAATCAAGCAACATACAAATCAACTAGAAAGCCAATCAAGCAACAGTAAAACAACTATTAAACAATCACAGACTCTATTTTAGATAAAGATGCACTTGTTTGTTGACAAAACAATCTTTGCAACAATCTTCTTGAATGTTCTTGAACTGCCTATATTTACCATCAATTAAGTATTTATCAGAGTTTCTCTGTCTGTTTACTGTGAGCTTTGGGCATTTTACAAAATTATATTTTTAATTACCTACCTTTAACTTTTGTGTAAATTTGAGGGTCAGTCATATCTCTGTATTGGGAAGCTGGTATTAGGCCATCCAGGTACATCTTCACAACATTGTATGACTAAAGAATTATTTAAATACTGACAGTAATCTAATGTCCACTTTAATCAGATGTCCAGTTCAAGTTTAATTTCACTTCTCTGCTCAATTCCGTTGAGTAATGTTTTTTCAATGCCAACTCAACTAAGTCTTACTGTAATGGCTATAACTGCAAAACTACATGTATATCTCCAGCTATTTCACATTTGATGAGTCTTTATTTCGATCTTAAATACTTTTAAACAACTTTCTGATTCCTCTTAACTGTAAATATGTTAGTATTAAGCTACATTGACAGTCACTGAATAGGTCTTCAAGATCGCAGATAGTCAATGCATGCCTGTTTCATCACTGAGCCGGATCAAACTAGCCAATCAGAGAGCTCGACCATTGGACTGTTGCGCTGATTGATTGTCAACTCTTAAGTTGTTATTTTTAGATTATTAACTAGTAATACATTGTTATATCTGTGTCATATTTGATGTCATTAAAATCATTTATTTGAATACAGAATGCAAATTCTGGAAAATAATGATAAAAATTAAATCAATGGCAATTACTGGGAGATTTAATTTAGGTTAAATCTTATAATTGTTGAATTGCTAGCAACCATAGCATATGAACAGATATACTCATACTCATCATTTGAAAACACAAATTAAATTCAAATGGGAGAAAATATTATAAATTGAAACAAAAGAGTTTTAACTGATACATAAGACAGAAGAAGTCCACAATACTATCAGAGACCATGGCTGTAAACTAATGAATTAAGAAATTAAATGGCGCACAATAATTTGATATGTTGCACAATAATACAGACTAATTAATTAAGATTGGTGCAAAACATTAACACAAGGCATTAACATGCAAAATGTCACCACCTGCCATTTATTACAGACAACGAACACTGACCAACGGACACCAACCACTGAATGCCGAACATCAACTACCAAATGCCAAACACCATCTACCAAAAGTGGATACACTTGTGATGGTGACATAATAATTAGTAGATAATGATAACTGGTGCACAGGACAATGAACTGGTGCACATTAATCTCAACTAGTGCATAACACTATATTTTGCACAAGCAAAACTGAGTAATAAAAATGTGGCTAAAATGCACATTTATTTATTTATTCAAATGTCACCTATTTAAAATAGTCAGCTCTACCTGGGCTTATGAGACACATTACACAATTACAATATTTAAAATTAATACAATTTACTCTAACATGATTTTTAATTTTGGTTTTTGAATAAAATGTTTTTCCTATGCATGTTTAAAGTACTACTGGCAATTACAAAATCAAGAACTGTATTATCTCTTAAATGCTTGTATTACCTATTAAATTATTTTTATAATCGCAATCAAGGTAGAATCTGACTCATTATGCATTATGCGGTATGATATTCTCCATTGATCTTTATCTCTTTCTTAACACTAAGAGATGTCAACTGAATATGACTCTTTGTCAATATACATATCAAATATAACCAGCTATAGATTTCCACTTTGCAAGCTTTGGTTGTTTATCATTTTCCTTGGTCAACCATAGTTATTTTTGCTTTAATTACAATAAAAATTGTACAATGATGAACGTGTGGTAATATTTGGATTATGAAAATTTAAAGGGCTTTATGAATAATTGATATTCAGTTTTTTAAAAACCAATAGTATTATTCACTGAGAAGATATACTTTTTGCAACTGAGTTTAATGTTTTAAGGAATTAGTCGAAATTATAGATAATGATGCACATCAAAGTGGGTGATACAGTTTTGCTATTTTTACAAATTAAAAGATCATTAAAAATGTTTATCTGCACAAAACTGCAGGTAATATCCATCCCACAATGCAATAGGTTTAAATGAAAAGCATCCATGAGCAAATTGGCTCATACATGCATATAATGTCATAATGCAAGCTAATAACCATGGAACTGAATACCCTCTCTTACAATGCAATAATTGGTGGATGCTGGTTTTGAGGTGAGGTGGTCCTACTTCTTGGTTTCACTTCAAATATAGGTTTGCTTTATGGACTACCTTGGAAGCTTCACAGCATCAAAAGCTCCATGTATGTCTCAATACAACCCAGTTATAAACTGATAAAATAAATTATCACACTAGGTGAAAAGTGTGCCTATGTTTTTTAAGTAATTTATTTGCGAAATAATTTATCACACAGCTATGTTGCTTTGAACCACATGGGAGCATTTACTGCTTCACTTTCAAAATCAAAGTACTGTTTGATCAATCTTTACTTTTCTTTAGTTTTGTTTTTATTCGCTTCTTCTTTACTTTTGATTATTGTTTTTATTCATTCACTCTGTAATTAATTGATAAAATATTCATTTCTGTATTTAAAAGTTAGTTAGATTAACTTTGAACATTTTTGCGCATCTGTTAACAATGACGAATCACTATTTCTCAAAACACAAAAATGCAAATTGAAGAGCCTTTTCGACTGCAAACATCATATCAAGTGTGCGGAGTTTAATTCTGACACCAGAAGAAAAATGAAACTTTCTGAGATAATTTATTGGATCTGTCCATCTTTTTGTAAAGTCAAGTGAAACAATTAATTTCATTAAGTATTTATTTGAATCATCGCGAAAAAAGGAACTTAGTAATTATTTTATCATCATTCGTTCTATGTTTCAATAGGACGACAAACAAAAGGTTTTTGTAGTTGGAACCGGCTACTTGAGTTTGAAAAATGAACTAGGACGAAATTAAAAAGTAGAGTGTAAACTTGTGTTAGGATCCCAAGAGAAATGATCATCTCAACCAAAATGATTACAAAATCACTACATTTAAATCACAAAAAGAGAGTAAAGCAGAGAACTATGGAGAAAACTAGGCAAACAGGCATAAAGTTTAAACAATTAAATGATGTAGAAATGGAATATAAACAGACTTTTCATTTATGTTTTTGAAGAATTGAGTAAAAATCTACCAGCTTCAATGAAATAGTTTGGCTGGGTATTTATTAGAATATCATCCAAATTTGAGACTGGTCCATGTGTCATTTTTTATTCATGATTAAAATGCATCTCATTATTCTCAGTCTTGTTAGTTATTTTGGGGATAAATGGACGGAACTTAATTTCCTTCTTCCAGTAGGAGAAATACAAACATCAATGTTAGAAAAACACTAAAAACACTATAGCTATGAAATTAATAAATGTATTTAGCCAGTTCAAAATGTGATAATAAAATGTTAAGCATTTGATATCTGGGCAAAAATTAAGATGGAAACAATATTTGATACAACTGTTTTTCAGAAGTGGCCTTCTGCCTAATGCAGATATCCATATAGATCCCATAAAAATTGGAGCACAAAACATGATAAAAATTGCACCCTTTAACCTTTACTTGACAAAGATAATGGCATTTAAAACTTTCCATAATCTATTATGAAGCTATTCTTCGAAAGTTATGACCAATTAGCCCAGTCAATTTGTAGCCATGAAAACTCTGTTGAATCTATCAATTTAAAGCCTTTTGGCATTCTATTCAGTTTTATGTAGTGTATAACTCCAAGTAAATCGAGGCAGCAATAATTGGTCATTATCTTATGCGACACCTTTCTCCTGATTGAATATAACTAGGCATAAAATATTTTACATGATTATATTATATTAAATTTTAACTTTGGTTGCTATGGCAACTGCATAGACTTGAAAACAGTCACTTACTCATCTGCTAAACACCTAAATTGACCAAGTCAAGGAATAAGTTCAACAGCTGCATTTAATTTATAATATAAAGCATTTAATGCTCGTTTTAAATATTTTGCTTTCCCAAATACCATTCTATGAAAATATGCAAACTTTCAATTTTAATATTTATTTCATCCCTTTAATATAATGTTTTCCTCTTATTAAATAGATCATTTCATTTGCACACTTTTGAGTCATAAAACACACATAAACTGAATCAGTTTTCTACATGGATGAATAGCTAATTATAAATTCAATTTCGTAGAAGACAAAACCTGCCTTACTTTGGATTTTCTTAATGTTACGCATTGTGAACTCTTGAAAGCCCATGTAACGACTAAATATATGATGTTTACCAACTATATTTTCAAATAAATAAGAAAGTGTCTCTTTAAATATCAAAATTTGAGGTTGCCATACAACTGCCCAATGTAAAGAAATCATTATGGTTTATAGATTTATTGAGGAATTATGAAGGTAGGACCTCAACCACATTCAGTAAAATAAATGACTTTGTACTTTGGAGCAACATCCACTAAAAGAGAAAGTTTGATACGAAAACAACACAAGACCACATAAACCTAATTGGGATGATTTATGATATTTTTTTGAATCGTGGGTTTTCTTACACATTTCCTTTTCATATTTATCAGAGTCAGAGAATGGCAGGGTGGTCAGTTACTGAGGAAATGACCAAACTATTACAAGCTGCACTGGAGTTATTATTTGATTTAAAAACTTCCAAAAAGCATGTTAAACTGCCTCAAATTCATAGATAGATTGCAGCCCAAACTAATTTCTTATGAGCCTATCTGATCTCAGAAACATTTACAATTTTTCAGATTTATGTTGATTGATACATTCGCAATTCATAACTTCAATAATACTCACCAAAATCAAAAATAAAGTAATTTATGGTAAACATGATCATTTTGTTCAACTAAAAATGAGTTCAGTACCGCTTTAAAATAAAAATAACATAGAATGTTCCAACTGATGAAATACTATCATGGACCAGTTTCAAATACTACACAAAATCCCTCTATTAGCCTCTCTTTGGTAAAACCTGCGCCAAACTAAATTTTATTTTTAATTTCGGTTGCTATTTAATAGATATCTGATTGACAGGTGATTTGTCAAGGTGTCATTTAATTAAATCCATGGGAGTTGGATTCTTCATGTCAAAAAAGAAAGTGTGGAAAGATAACATGAATAAGTAAAATTGTTTATTAGAAAAACTGACAGTCTGCTTTATGAATTCATGAGAGCAGTCATTCTTTCACAATTGAATGATTCAAAGAAACCATTTTAATCATTTAACCATTTTTCTTAAAAGCAAAAAAATCAGAGGATTCCACAGTATTTTCTCAAATGCTGGGCTATCTAGTCATTTTATAAAATTTATTTTTTCTAGTAATTGACTTGAAAAAACATGAAAACCATGAAATGGTGCAAAATATGTAAACAGGAACCAACTCTATATATATAATAATGAAGTCGTACTAAGAAATGTTGAAATATAAGCAGGTCTCTCCATGACTCTGCAACTGACATACCGATCAGACACACAAATACATATACAAATGTTGCAATTAATATTCTTTTGTAACATCTTTCAATACGTTC